GCCGCGACACACGAGCCTCCATCCGAACCCCCCCCCCCCCACCCCCACCACACACACAGCCGTGACATCTGTGATTTTTGCGATGCTCTCACTGCTATCAGGACTTTAACGAGGGGAGGAGGGGAGACAGACAAGAATAAGAAGAAAAAAACGGAAGAGAAATGACCATCGGAGACACGGCAGACGATCTCAACGTTTTTCCTTCCTTTCCCTTTTTTCGTTCTCGCCTCACAACTTCTGCACGCTGCCCGACGACGGCGGTGACGAGGCGAGGGACGACACAAAAGGATGGCGCAGCACCGCCTCGGCTGTCATGCGCGCCGCGGGCTTCTCCGCCAGCAAACCGCGCAGCAGCGACTGCAGAGACGGGTTAGAGACCAGAAAGGCGTTGGTGACGAAGAGACGCCCCACGGAGCTAAGGGGAATACCGGAGGAGAGCGTCAAGAGCGAGCGGCCTAGGCCATACATGTCCGCCGCCGTCTCCTGCATGCGCGAGGCGTGCGACGAGCCCTTCAGCAGTTGCTGCAGGTCCTGTGCGTTCGACCGCCCACGCGTCGCGCTATTGCGGTTCTTCCCGGGCGACTTCCCCCCCTCGCCCTCGAAGAGGCACCAGTGCATGCTAGCGTAGTTCACGAGCTTCACCACGCCGTTTGTGTCCAACACGACGTTACACGGCTCCACCGCGCCGTGGACAATGGCGAGGCACGGTGCGCGGAAGGAGTGCAAATAGTGGAGGGCATCTGCAATGCCGCGCGTCACCGCCATCAGCTGCGTCTCCGGCAGACCCCGACCGCGCTGCGCCGCCTCCCAGAGCGACGCGGGGGCCTGCACGGTGTCGTCGTCCTGCACCAACTCTGAGATCAGCACCGTCACCACCCGACCACTCACTAAAAGGATGGCCAAGCGCTCGATTCGCGCGCGGCGCTCTGCGGCCTTCGCGCGGCCTTCGCTCGTGCGACTTCCACGCAGTTCGGCGACACGGCGCTCCCGACTGGCGAGCTCGGCTGCGACCTCAGCGGGCCACTGAAAGCCCGGGACGGTGCCGCTGCTCGAGTTGCCTTTGACAGTGCCGTCTCCCTCCTCCTTCTTCGCCGAGTTGCCTCGACAAGCATTCCCTTTGGAAGGGGAGGTGGACTTACTACTGTTTTCGCTGCTGCCACAACCGCTGCCGAATAGAGAGGGAAGCAGACGAAGAAGGCGGTGACCGCTGCCGTACTGCCCGGCGCTCTTCGGCGTCGTCGGGCTGCGGCATTTCTTCGCCCTTTCTTCGCCCTCGCGTTTCTTCCTTGACTTCCTTGCCTGCGGCGACTCGCGGCTTCGGTGGCTCTCCTCCACGCTGTGCAGGGAGCTGCTGCGGCGGGCAACGCTGCCGGGTGGGACCACCGACACGGCGGAAGTGGTGGAGCGCTGTGGCGACGCCACCGACGCAGCGACCGGGACGGCGGGCAGCCGTAACGACACCGTCGGGCGAGACCGGACGTGCCGCGACGGCTTCTCAATCTGCGGCGTCCACGTCAGCACCGCGTCCCCGCCCGCGCCGGTGCAGGCGTGCACGAGGTTGTGCAGCTGCTCCGCGTCCTGCGCCGTGCGGTAGAAGACGTCGAAGGTTTGGATCAGGTTCGGATGCTGCAGCAGCAGCGACATCGCGCAGAAGCGTAGGAGATCGAGCGACATGAGCTGCGACGGCTGCGGCGGCGTCGTGCCCGCCGCCTCTACCGCTGCGTCACCGCAGTCGCCGGGATCGTGCAGCACAAACGTCGCCGCGAAGTGGCGGCGTGTACACCGCTCTCGCACCTTGTAGGTGGCGCTGATGCGACTCTCCGTGATGTAGCCTTCCGGGATGTAGTAGTGGCGGAAGTTGCTGACGGGGAGGAGGCGACGGCGGCGCCCCTCATCCGAGTCGGCGAGCGCGCCTTCGCCGGCTGATTCGCTCTCGTGCGCTGCCTTCAGAATCGTTTTCGTCTCGCCCTCGTCAGCGCTGCGGCCATCGTTGCTGTGACCGCTGCTCTCCTCTGAGTCAGATCCCGAGCAGCTCCAGAGCGACTCGTAGTTGCAACGATCGAGCGCCGCCTGTTCGAAGTCGGCGAAGTCGCTCCCGATAGAAAAAGAGTTGGCCTGGTGGGCGTCATCCTCTGGCGCCTCCGCGGCGTCGCTTCTGTCGGACGCACTCGCCACATCTGAGACACTTCTCTCGAGAAAAGACAGCGCAACGCTATCGCTGTCGTGCGGCGACGGGAAGCTAGGATAGCGGCGCTGCTGCTGCTGATGCTGCTGCTGAGGTTGGCGCAACCCAGCCGCCACTTCCGCGCTCACCTCACCAAGTCGAGACCGCGGAGACGAATCAGTCGAAGCTGTTGCCGCGGTGTAGTACGCAGAGAAACTCGCACTGCTGTTAATGGACTTCTCGGCTGCCACGCTGGTCATCACACGAGGCGAAGAGTGTCCCATCGCGGGGTCCCGTTGCGGCACGCCGTCGCCGTCGGAGCTGGCAAGGAACACCCGACGCTCGTGCCGCTTCTGTTGTGGCTTTCTTAGCGGCAGCGTCGCGACGGCAGGCGAAGGGGCGAAGGTGGTGGCGTGGTCCCGCCACGTGTGGTTGTGCCTCACTGGAGAAGTCGTACTGTGACCACTACCACCGTATTCATCCTCATCATCACCACCATCATCGTTGTCCCCGCTGTTGCTCAATGGCGCACTCGCCACGATGCTTGTCAGTTCCACCACGCTGCGCGAGTTCTCGAAACTCGGCTCCCCCACGCTGCCTCGGCCACGAGCGCCGTGGCCTTCGGTGTCGCTTGCGAGGCCGTCCACTTTCACAGAGTCGTCCTCCGCCTCTTTCAACGCATCACCGTTGTTTTTCTCCCTGCCGTGGCCATCCTTCGCGACTGCGGCGCTGTTCGCGCCGTCCCCAGAGACGCAGGACCAGCCCAAGTACAGCAGCTTGGTGTAGGAGTCCATAACGTCTTGGGAAGAGGAGGAGGAAAGCGGCTTGTCGCTTCGCTGCGCATCCGACGACTGCCGGGCGTCGCTACCTTCTCTTCTCGCACGGTGTGCGCGCTCGGGAGAAGCGATTCGCCAACGTCGCGACTTCGCCTCAAAGGCACTGGTGGACACGTCTCGTGTGGCTTTCTCTTCTCTAAGTCGGGCCCGCCTGCGCCGAAAGGGCTGCGTCAGCTCCGCCGACGCCCGCGCGGTGGACGAGGTAGATCTCGCTGAGCGTGCTACGAGGGGCGGAGGAAAGAGCGAGAAGGAGGCCATGCTGGTTTTGCTTCCACGCATGGCGGTCCTCCGCCCGTCCGACTCCCGCCGCGGAGACGACGAGGACGAGGCGGGGGAGGAAGGTGCGGTGGGGATACCAGGGAGAGTAACGGGCGCAGCCACTCTGCTCCCGTCTCGCGCAGACCTGTGAGAGGGTTGGGCCGCCGGTGCCGCCTCAGCGCCCAACAGCGACGGCCGTGTGACAAACGGCTGGTCCTTCACGTCCTTCGCAGGAGACGACACCTTGAATGGCGTCGCGTTACCGCTTTCCTTCTCGACCGATGCCTCCGTCCCCTCTGCTAGACTGAAGTTTACACCCATGTAGTACTCCGGCGCCGACGCGTCCGCGACGGTGCACGGCCCCGGCTGCAGCGCACGGGGTGCGAAAGACGGCTGCCGCGGCGGCGATGACGAGAGGGGTATGTGAGTGCCCAGCGTGGGGAATGGATGAGGAGGTGACGCTGCGGCGGCTGCATCCACAACAGCCCCAGTGGTGCGGTCCTCCACCTCTTCATTTCCAACGCTGTTCCTTTGGCGGACGTTTTGACACCTTGGCAGTGACGGGGCAGAAGGTGTCGATAGCTCCGCCGTCGACTCGACCGCCCTTGCGGCATCGTTGGATTCCTGCTCCTTCTCCTCCCCCGACACCAGCAGCGGCGGCGAAGATGACCGCTGCGAGCGGGCCGCGACGGTGATGCGCGGCAACTCCGCGCACGTCGCGTGCGGTGAGAGGGGTGGCAAGGACTGCCGGGAAGCAACGCAGCTGCTCGAAATGCCGGCAGCACTGCGCGACTCCCTCGACGAGGGCAGCGAGACGGAGTTGAGTTCCGCAAACTTCAACACCTTTCGTGCGCTCTGCGTCTCTCGCCGGCTGTCGTTGACGGACTGTTCCGGATCTGCTGCGGTCGCCGCCGTGGTCGTGGCCGTCGTGGCCGTCGTCGCCTTCGTTGCTTCAGCTGGCAAGATCTTTACGCGCTGTTTCTCCTCGATCGGCGTGTCCGCCGTTGGTGTCGGCGTGCGGGCGTGGTCACTCACGCCGAGGATAGGGGGAAATGTGAGGGGGTCCTGGAGTGCTCGCCGCCTCTCCGGCGCCAGCGACGGCGACGTCCACCCCGTGCCCTTCGCCGGTTCAGCGGCTTTCACGCTATTGTCGCGCACAGAGAAGCTTCGCGGCTTCGTGTCCACCGACACCTCTGCGGCTGTTTTGGCGGTTGGGCCGCTGCCGTCTTCTTCTCCACCGCTGAGAAGCTTTGGATAGGTGTGGCGTCGCGCGCGGCCGGTGAAACTCGCAGGCGCACTTGCTGGTATCGACATCACTGCAGCAGCAACAGCGGTCGCATCAGCGGCGCGGTCCGCGACAGGCGTCGGCGCGAGGTCCTGCTGCACCGACGATGCCGGTCTCATTGACGGGGTAGAAGTGCTGCTGGTGGTGCTCTCCTCTCTCGCTCCCTGATCGAGACGTGCGCTGGTTCTCCTCGGCAGCCTCGTGCTCCCCCGCTCCACGCTTGACTCGTATTTTTGGTTTAAAAGACTGATAGCTGCCGATACGCTGGTGGGAGGAGGGACGATGACCTCCGGCCGGTTCGCCATCGTGGACGACGTTGTTTTATTACTCTTGGCGCTGTCATGCGGCGAAGCTGTCGTGGTGTGACGTGCGATGGTCACGGTGCTCACCGCAGAGGGCGAGCTGCCCAGCGTGGAGGTAGCACTCCACGTCACGGCGCTGTCTCTCCGTCTCGGGTTTGTGGAAGCGGCCGCCGCCGCACGATGAAGCAGACCGTGCACTTCATCGCGCTCCTCCATCGTGTTCCGATAGAAGCGGAGAAGGAGCTAACAAAAGTCGATGCAACGAGGACAGGGAAATAAAAGGAAGAAGGACAGGAATACGGAACGCGCGGTGACCTTCGACACTACCCCTCCCCCAAAAAAAAAAACAAAGCTTCACCGCAATTTCTACGAAAAACCACAAAGACCCTTCAAAATAAAGCCGGAAAAAGAAAAGAGGTCGTGGAACACAACGTTGTGCGAGCGGGTGTATACGCGTTGCGAACCGCCGTGGTATACGCAGCGGCCCAACGTCAGCCCCGGCGCAGCTCTATTGCTACACAACAGTGTGTTCCCTCACTGCACGGCGTTTGCGAGACTGCACCGGTGCAAATATTAAGTTTCGAAAACTAAAATAAAAGGAATTGCGAGAGGGAAACGTTCGGCACCAGGCACGGGCTCAGAAAGAAAGAAAGAAGATTTCTTTCGGGGAAGCAATCCGTGAATGCGCGCAAAAGGAAGGACAGAAAGCTTGTAGACCGTTTACTATGAAAAATGGATTGCGGTGAATGAGGAAAAGCAAGTACACACACAGAGACGATGAAAGACGAACTCCCACAGGAGTACGGCGACAGAGAAACACAAAAGAGAGGAGGATAAATCACGACAGCGAAAGACCGCCCGACGCACAACAACACACGAGAAAAGGCGGACCCGTCAAGGAGGAGAGGAGGCTGGGCAGAACGAGCAGTTGAGCGGAGAGCACTCGGAGAGAGCGTGGTCTTCAACTGGGTACGTGGGTGCTGGAGCAAACGGACCACCGCACGCCACCGCATGTAGATCAAAAAGTGAGGAGGCAAAGGAAGCTGTTTCTTTGAAGGGCCTTCTTGCTCTCCGTACGTCTACAAAGTACAGAAGTTTGCAGCAAAGATCTGAGCCCTTTGGAAGTACGACAGAAAAAAGTTCTTTATAAAAAAAGCGGAAAGAGAACGGGAAGAGAATGGTGAAGCAGAAGAAACAAACACAAAAAAGCCAAGGGCAAAGCGAGGAAAGACGGTGCAGTGACAGCCGCTGGAGAGGAAACGCGCAGACGGAGAAAAGCTGGCGCGGAACGTGTTGACGCACCCCAATTGTAAACACAGATACCGAAAGAGAAGCTGAAAGTGAAGATGAAAACGGTCACCGCGCTCGACTATTGTGTTGTTGATATATAAATATATATACATTGAGGGAGAGGTGAATGGCTAATGCAGAGTCGACGGAGTGAGACAGTCTGCGAGGAATTAGAGCTGTTGGTATGAGAGAGAGAGAGAGACGAGCGGTAATGCGTCAAATAATAGTGTAAGTCATAAAGAGCGGTGGTGTGGAAAGAACGAGGCACTGTGTGGCGAAGGCGGCGCACCGACGATGCATCTATCAGCTCGTCTCCTCTTGTCCTTCAAATGAATGATACACACACATATATGTAGTGTTAGTCAAATAATAACAATAGAATAGTAAAAGGTAGATGAAAGAGTTGAGGAGAAGAGATGGGAAAGAGTAATGAGACGGAGGATCGACGCAGAACCACCGACATCCACCGATAAAGGAAACGACGCACTGTAGTTCTATCGAGGCATGCAAAGACATCGAAGAAAATCAATCCGAAAGTATCAGCACAGGGAAGCCTGCTAAGACCTGTTTGAACCGTACTTCGACGCGCGTCGTGGCTCTCGCACCTCGCTGCCTCGCGCAGGCAGCAAAAACAAAGTTCATTAAAATAAAACGCAATGCGCAGGTTACACAGACGCATCCAGCAACCGCCATCGCCTCTCCGCCTCCTCCTCTTGGCTAAAAGCATGGGCAGGCTTTTCAACGGACTCGAATGCAAGCTGCGGAGAGCCGCAACAGCGGCACAAACTCCCAGAAAAACTGTTCCAAGAGGGCTGCGATAATAATAATAATATCTTTTTTTTCTTGGAAATCATAACTCGACAAGTAAAGCCTCCGCGAGGAAGAAGAAGAGCCAAAAGGAGGAGCAACCATCAATCCGAATCAGGAAAGAAGAAAACAAAGAGGAGGAAGGACGGACCTCCCCCCTCCCGACCTTCTCTTTCTGCAACGAAGGCGCACGTTACAACGCATCGCAACAGCCGTCTTCACAACGACAAAAAAACAAAAACAATTAATAACATATATATTGAGAAAAATATACATGAGGGAAAGAAGCAACAACCGTTAGAGAATGTATGGTGTATAATGGAGAAGGAGAAATCAAATGAAAAAAATGACAATACCAGGCTAGAGCCGCCTTTACTCACTCTCCACGACGAAAGCAGCATGCTTCATCCGTATTCCTCGGTGGCGGAAGATATCACAGGTTGCGAGTAACCAATCGTATGGGAAGCTTTCACAGCAGATGAGCGTGAGAAGCAGAAGATGCAACGAGTAGGCGTGCAGCAACAGAGAACCCAAACACAAACATTCGATTCAGGAAGTCAAGACTGGATCCCCATCTCTCCCTGCTCACATCCAAACACACACACACACTCACTCACTCACATGCGCGCAACAGTAAACGGAGTATTGCTCGACGACTCTCCAACAAACTGCATATTAAAGACGGGTTGACGTGTTCGATAACAGTTTCTATCATCATCAGACGGAGAAGAAGAAAAAAGAAAAAAAGACAACGGCGAAGTACAAGAACGCCAGTCGCGGGTGAGAAGTGGAGACACCACATCTCACGTGCAATGCAAAGCGGATACTTCGGTACGGCGGCTCCGCCTCCATCTTTCTTCGCGTCCTCTTCAATTAATCTCTATGCACATTACTTCTATAACAAAGTTCCCAGAAAAAAAAAAACAAGACACACACACACACATTCACGACGTCAAACGAAAAGGCTCTGAGCCGCGTGCTGCACGATCAGTTGCGCACGGGGGCAGCGTTTCGGCCGTCGCCACAACAGCATTCACCCGCTAAAATCAAGAAGAAAAGCAGACACGTACACACCTACACATACACCTTCCCTCGCAAGGGTTTATATCACATGTCTTCCTTCTATGGCGAGGAATACTTCTAAGCCGCCTCCCGAAACAACGATTGATAGCGCTGAAGCAACACAGGCGGGCAGCTCTCGCGACTGCGCTCGTGGATGATCTTCACCTGGCGGATTACCCGCCCCAACAGCTCCATTGCGCACGGATCGACACACGGCAGCGCGGACACGATCGCGCTGCGGCGCGCCGCGGCCTTTTGTGGAGCACCCCCCAGCGCATTTCCCGTGAGACCTTCACGTTTACTACGAAGAGTGCCTGCTGCGGACGAAGACGCGAGGGCTGCCGGTGTCGCGTCCTCCTCGTCGCCTACGTCCTGCTCCTCCGCTACATCTCGCGAGGGGGACATGAGACCGGCACCACGCAATCCCGGTCCACGGCGTCCATCAGCAGCGCTCAGCCGTACCAGCTCCGCCTCCAGCAGCATAGAGAGCTCCTCCAGCATTTTGTAGCTGTCATCCATTGGCTGCGCAGTAAGTCGAAGCGTCTCTGCCGCTGCCGTCCCTGAAGTGGGTTTGAAGGGCGATGGCGATTCACGGCCCATCGAGTTCGATTCTTCATTGCAGCCGTAGCGCCGTCGCGCCCGCAGCGTGTCGTCCGTCGTCGTCATCATCGTCGGGGCGTCCGCCTCGCGCAAACGTTCACGCACCGACGGCGGCAGCAGTCGCAGCAGCGGCGCAGGCAGCGGCATACAGACCTGCTCCGCTGCTGTCACGAGCGCTGCGGTCGCGACCAGCACGGGGGAGTACTGAAGTACGTTGCAGCTGTCCCCCGACGAATCCGTGTCTTCGTCGCCGCTGTGCACCTCGTGCTGCTGCGGGTGTTGCTGCTCCTCCCCTCGAGCGTCCCGCGTGGGGGCGGGGGTGTCAAGTCGGCTGCCCGAGGCGGAGGAGGACGCGCTGGACGAGCCGGCGGCGTCGGCGCGGATGACCTCGTCGCACACGAAGTACGTGAACAGCCGCAGCCGCAGCCAGTCGTTGATCGCCTGCCGGCTCGTGTGCGTGAGCGACTCTGACGGGTGGCCGCCGCCGTACCCGTGAGAAGAACGCCTCTGTGAGGGCGCCGTGCCAGGGGCCAACACTGCTGCTGTTGGGGGAGAAGGCTGCGACAAGGCCCCGTGACCGCTGCCGCGCACCGCCGCCGCCGCGTCCTTCTCCTCCTGCTCCATCAGCAGCTTCTCCACATCGTCCACTAAATGCCCACGATCTTGGTGCTCCTCGAGTAGGCGTCGTGTCGTGTGGGAGGCGGTCAGCGTCGCAAAGAGCTTGTCGCTCGTCGACAGGGCGAGCAGCGCGTTTACCGACTCAAAGAGCGTCACGGGGTGAACTGGGAAGGCGAGGGTCTGCAGCACGTGCAACTCCAAAATCACAAACTCCTGCTCGCTGATCGGGGCGGTGTCCTCCACGCAGCCCATGAGCTGGCGAATGCGCGGAGGGTACAGGTCGACCGTTTTGCTGCCCAGCATAATGCACACGACGATCACCTGCGTTAGGAAGCCGCAGATGTCGCGGGCCTGCACCTCATCGTCGTCGCCGTAGGGCGGCTGCCGTGACGACCGCTGCTCCATCGCAAGCCCCCTGCCGCTCCCGCGGTGAACCGCCGACCCGTCGAGGAGGTCACTGCTGCCCGGCCCACCAACGCCGCTGCCTGCCATCATGCTGAAGTCCATATCCTGCCCGGTGCGGGCGCGATAGATCTGCCGACGATAGGCCGTGAAGTTTGCAATGGGGTCCACCGTGGTGGCAATGAAGCGGTCGAGGAAGGCCACCGCCGTGTAGAAGGCGAGCCGGCTGCCGTGGATGTACCGCACGATGCCGTCGAGAGAGTCGACGACGAGGGGGCGGCACAGAATCCCACTCGAGGCGTAGCGCCACCGCCGCCACCCGGCCGGCACCTGGTCGTTGTAGTACGCCGTGTCGACAACACGGAGCAGCAAGAGGGCACGCCAGCGCTGCGACTGTGGCAGGCGGCTCTCCAAGTCCCCCGCACGCCGCGTGTCCGCTGAGCCGCCGACAAGACTGCCTCCCTGTTGCTGCTCATCGAGTCTGCCGGCCGCCAAGGGAGGGCTAGGGGTCGAGGTGGCCGAGCGCGGGTCCTCGCCGTAGCCCAGCATCGTCGCGCCGTCCACCACGCGCACCGCAGACGTGCTGCGCTCACGCGAGAAGGAGGAATCCTGGTAGACGGTGCGGCCACCATCCGACAGCGCCCCGGACGTGTTCACCGCCTCCGTCGAGCACGATCGGTGACGACAGCCGGCCTTGCAGTGTTGGTGCTGGTGCTGTGGTTGGTTCAGCTTTGCCGTTGCCATGGCCCAGCCCAGCGAGCGCTCCTCCTCCGCCACACTCAGTAGGGCGGTGGCCGTGAAGCAGAAGGTGTACTGCAGCGAGGTCGGCACGAGCCGCAGGAAGAAATCCGTCGGCGGCGACGGCGGGGAGGCAGCCGTGCGGCTCTGCAATCCCGCGGCGGCGGCAGCGGCAGCAGCACGCGGTTGCACCTCGCACCCGTTGGTGCAGAAGCAGCGGCACAGACAGGCGACGCGGCGCAGCGTGCGCAGGTCGCGGACGTTGATGGACGTCGCGCCGGCCGCTGCAACACCCGCGGCGTCGCCTTTGCTGGGGTGCGGAGGCGCCAGCAGCAGATAGCGCTCGTAGATCGCCTGCGTGCCGACCAGCTCGTACCGTGAGGCGAGCAAGAAAAAGAGCGTCGGCCCGGTCGCGGCGGCGGCGGCGGTGGGCCTGCCGCGCACCACAGCGCAGAGTTGGCTCATCGGACACAGCTGCCACCCCCGCACCGTCTGCGGCCACTCCGCCCACACCTCAACGCCGGGCAGGCGGGACTCGACGTCGTCCTCCGCCGCGGTGACGCAGAGAGACTGCACCGCCGTCGTGGGGGAGGCGAGTTGAGCGGCTGCCAGCTCCGCCAGCCAGGGAGCACCAGCAGCCGCAGTAACAGCAGTATGCACCCTCGTCGTTGTTGCTGCTGCGGCGGCGACGGCTCGGCCGCGGGGATCATAGAAGAAGAGAATGGGCTTCTCTCGACCGTGCAACACGCAGTCTTCTTCAGTAGGGAGGGAGGTCTGCAGCGGTGTTAAAGGGAGGTAAGGAGGAGAGGCGTTGGGCTGACCACTCGATGCCCCGGCGGCCAGCTTACCCAAGAGCTCAAACACAGCCGTGTTCATTGGTCTTTTGTCTCTTTTCTGCTTTCTGCTTTCGAAAATGAAAGAAATCCTGTCCCCCACCAGTGAAAACCACAAAGAAAAAAGTACTACGCGTGGAGACGAGACTTGCTTCCTTCGGTTGGTTCCCCCCCCCTTTTTCTCTATATCTCCTTGCAGTGCGGAAGGAGAACTGAGAACGACACAGGCAGAAGAAAAGGAAGGAAAAAAGAGAAAAGACTTGCGCACGTCGTTCTGCGTAATAGCTGCGGTAAGATCTGCCTTTCCTCGCCACTCCTGGAGTGAGGACGTCGTTCGTGGTACTCGATCGACAAATGCGCTTCGTCTTTCTTCTATCGTTCCACCTGAGCGCAACAGTAATGGTAGGCTCTGGTTCGTAGTAGATTCTACCGCAGGAGGATGAAAGGAGAGAAGGGAAAATACAAAAGTTAACGAGCGTCGTCGGGAAACAGGTATTCAGAAAACAACAACAAAAAGAAGTGTCAACCGTCAAAACGCGGAAGCTCCGTTCGATGTATGTATTTAGCGTGTTTGTTTGTGTCTCCCGCCTCAATCGCGTGCAGCGTACCGCCACCGATAAAGTTAGAATTGATTGGTTAGCGAGCAGGGCTTGTGTAGAAGTACACGAGCTACGAATGCACCAACGCGACCACGGCAACAGCAATCAGTGACAAGCGTGTTGACCGGTTGTGTACGAAACAGAAAGCGAAATAGAGCTAAACTGGCAACGTTGGAAAAAGGGAAAAGAGAAGGGAGAAAAGCTGTTGTGTATTCAAGGCTGACAAACGAATAGATCGATCTATATCTACGTAGATACAGCCAATCAGCCGACGCGCGCAAGTTCGAGGATGGGCTCCCCCTCCTCAAAACACAATAGTAAAACCAATCAGCGAACAAAGTCAAAATGAACACGCCCACACACACACACACACACGCCCCAAAACATGCCAGAACGGTGTGGCAGAAAGAGAGAAAAGAAAATAAAAGCGTTGGGTGAATAATAGTAACAATTGTGAAGGTAAAGTGAAGCCACAAGTAAGTAAAAAAATAAAAAAGAAAAGAAGCAGAGGCAGAAGAAGAAGAAAACTATATATGCGTTTAACTTCTTTAAAGGTTACTCACCAAGGCACCACAGACGTCAATGGCGGAAGTGTCACGTGACAGGACAACAGGTAACCAAAAGAAGAAAACAATAAAAGAGAAATATTGTCGAGGAGGCACAGACTCCGAAAGATACAAATAAAATAAAACAAAAAATGAGTGAGGAAACAGAAATGAGTCTGTCTGCTGCGGTGGTGGTGTTACTTGATCTATAGGGAAGATGTCGCAAAAAGCAAACGGTGAAAAAACAGAGTCCCTGCTCCTATGCGGTTGTTATGTGAAGACGCAGACCGGAGAAAAAAAAAAGAAAAAGAAAGAGCAGTAGGCGGTAAAGTAGAACGCGCTCAACTCTGCCACGGTACGAGAGGATCACTAGGAAGGGGAAAAGGAAAGCAAAGAAAACGGCTAGAAATATATAGTAGAGGTTGTGTTTTCTTTTTCTCTATGCTTTTTTGGAGGGGAGGTGGAAGGAAAGAATAAGCGCGAAGCAGTCAGCTCCATGCAGCTTGTGCTCTGAAAATCAGCAGTAACACAACGCCGCAGTCTATGGTGTTTGCTAACCGTTGAATAAACGCCGAAGGGAGAACGGTGTGGCCGACATACAAATTACTTTTGCTTCTCTTTTTTCTTTGTTGCTGTTGTTGCTGCTCCGCTTTCTTCTCTCGATTATTTTTCTCTCCTTTTTCTGTTTAGAGAAAAACAAAAAAATATATAGTCGATCACCGGTGCGTCGCGTTGGCGTGTTCGGCTAGACGAGAAATGGCGCTCGGGAGAGAAAAGGAAGAAAGAGGGAGAAGACGACAGCAGACAAAAGAAAGTTCCACACGATCTACCGCCAACGTCAAGATGGGCGGTGGGTGGGCGCGGAAGCCGAGGTGGCGGCCGATAGAGAGAGGAGAGAAGCAAGGAGAAAACGGTGAAAGCGCAGACGAGAAAGACACGACAGAGGCAAAGAAAGAGAGAGAGCGTTCATTCATGCAAAAAAAAAAAAAACATAGAAAAGAAAATTCGAGATTGCGGTAGTAGCAGCCAATCATTTTCTTTCGCTCCTGAAAAAGTGGCAACATCGCAGCCACAACAAGCAGGGGGGAAGAAGGGACACGTAGAAGTACGTACACGCTTTTTGAGGGCGACTTCATTAGCCACTTTGCGTCTCGTTTCGTCCTCTCAGATTCGGCGTCTGAATTTCTTTTTCCCAGCGTTGTCATAGCTTTCGTTTTTGGTAGTTACTGCTTAATACTGCGTTTCGTAAATCTCCATCCCACCGTGGCCCCTTCATTTCCGTTAGTAATATTAATGGAAAAAAGAACAGCAACACACACCGCCTACAAACACACACACACACACATATGACTACCGCAAAGGTGAGCGGGAGTGTGCCGAAGCAGAAGCAAATGAATGCGGAAACCGGGGGAGCGAATTAAGATGTAAAGTCCTCTCGCACACACACACACACACACACACACATATGCAAAAAATGAACAAAGAAAGAGTTAGCGTTGCACTGGGAGGAGTTCAAACACAAGACAGTTGAAAGCACTGCTTCTTCTTTTCTTCTTTCCTTCTAAGTACGGAGGAGCTCAGTGAATATATGTGAAACAGAAACAATTTAGCATCCCGAATTGGCAATAGTAAACATACGCAGAGCAACTGAAGCTTTAACGCGAAGAATGTATCAATCCGCCTAGATACGTGTCCGTCTTTCTCCTGAAGAGGTATCGGCGGCACACATACACCTCCTTGGAAGGATGTGTGCGCGTGCTCAGTTCATCCTGACGCGGTCGTCGGCGTCGCACCACCACCGCCAGCAGCAGCAGCAGGAGCGGCAGCCGATTCGTCGTCCACCACGACCTGAAAGTCGCCTGGCGTCCCGCCAATCCGAGTGAAGCGCTCACCCTTCTCGCGCAGGATGTCCTCGATGTTCTTCGCCTCATCCTCCAACCAGCCGAGGTTGTCAGCGAGGAGGTGCTTCGCGAGGCAGTTCGGACACTCCACAATCACAATACCCTTCGTGTACGCGTGCTTGCTGAAGCGCTTCACCATGCGGTAGTCGCACGGCCCGCAGGTGAAGGCGGCCACCATGTCGCCCTCTGCCGGCCCAATGCCTGCCCCGCCCATCACAGAGCTCTTCTCCTTCTCGGGCTGCTGCAGGGCAGCGAGGATGCGCTCGCGGTCCTCCGTGGAGAGCGCGCTGAGCTGCTCTGCGAGCGACGGATTGGCGCGGGGCGACTCCTCCACCGGGCTCTCCACCGGCGAGACGGCGGCTGCCTTCGCTGCTGGCGCGTTCGCGTCCTCGACGTCGGCGTTCGTCGCACTACCGCTGCCGCTGCTGGACGAGCTCCATCGACGAGGTGCAACGGTGCAACACGAAGCGGCGGTCGTAGTGGGGAAAGGCGTAGAGAGGGGGAGCTGTCTACGGACGGCGGTGCGCAGTGGCACGGTGCGAGCCAGCGACGACACAGCCGTGTGCGGGGCAAGCCGCACCTGTGACGCGCAGTGGCGGAGCGCCGTGCGCGGGGCCGTGAGCGACAGCTTGGCGGCCTGGCGTAGCATCGCCACACAAAGGCCACCGCAAAGGGAGAGGGGTGTAGGTCCGTAAGCTTGGTTTTACAGTCGTATGCTCACAGGGCAGCGCCTCGCTGTACGTAATCCTTCTTAACTTCTTATCAAGAAAAGGCAGAAGAAAGTAGATGGGTGTATAACCACTTCAAAGCAGCCGATTTGAGGGGAGGGGGAGAAGAGAAGAGAAATGATGGCAGTGGAAGAGCGCATGACACAGCAGACATGTAACACGTGGAGGAGAAAGTGTAGACATTTCTGTCCTTTTAAAATTGACGTTTGCGCAAGATCAGCACTTTTCGCAGACATATATATATATATATATATACATCGGTTGTTTCCCACATTTTCGTTGTTGTTCCTCTAGTGGCAAGTCCAATCTGTTCGACGTGTGCTGAGTTAATGGCTCTTCTTCCTCTCTCAGCCTCAACAATATATCTATACATCGGTATTGTTTCCTTCTCGGCTGCCCCTCGGCAGTTCTATGGTGGACAAGGTGATCCGAAGCACGGGAAACGCACAGCGCTTCATTTGCCAACAGCAACAAAAAAGGGTTGGGAAGCAGTAAATAGTAATGATAAAACCAACGTGGCCAATCAAATACGCGCGCACCGACCAAAGAAATAAGAAAGCCTGCCCAAGGAGGCGCCGGTGTTAACGATTCGATTCATCTCACCGTCACGCACAAAGGGCGGAGGGGGGAACACTCTGCGCACCGCGTAAAGAAAGAAGGGGGAGAAAGAAGAAATACGCCTCGCTTAAACGACGGCGAGATCAGCCGCGCAGCAGCGAATGGGTACCACCATGTGCACCGCCTCTTTCGTCCCGAAAGTTGCTTCCTCTTTTTTGGGATGGCAGACATCAACAGGTACCATTATTTTTTTTTCCTTTTACAGCGCGTACTCCGGCTGCGCTTCCCGCGCACGGTGGCGCATCGCCTGCCAATCCGTGTGCCCACCTGCACGACCCTCCACCCGACTGTTCCCGCCCTTGATGTCTGCCTTGTCGCTCGGGTTCACGAAGAAGGCCTGCACCGTCACCGTACGCAGCGAGCCCATCATCCCCAGCAGCGCCCCGCCGCCAATCACGGACGACACAAGTCCGCACAAACCGATGAGGCCGACGCCGAAGGTGTACGCCGGCAGATCTGGTGAGGATGCAGCCATCACCACCTCCGAAGCAGCAGCTGATAGGTTGTAAGCGGAGGGCTGCTGCAGCGTAATAGGAGGCGGTGTCGCGCCGTAGTAGAGCGTGAAGGATGAGTGACTGCGTATGGCACCCGCCACCGCATGTACAGTCGACGCGGTGTGCGACGAGGAGGACGAGGCGGAGGACGGCGGGGCCGCTGAGGGGAACACCATGTACATGAACATGAAGATGCCCACCACGCACGTCAAGAGCCGCGGCAGTGTCGCAACTCTGTCGAACGCGGAGTACGCCAGTGCACGCAGCAGCAGATCGGGGGCGTGGTACTCGGTGGTGAGGACGTAGCGCGACGGCCGGCCCGGCACCACCCACGACCCACGGCTTCGACTGGTGCACAAGGACGGCGAGGCCATGCCGCTGCTCGCAGCGCCGCCGGTCGACGAGGCTGCTGCAAAAGAGAGACGATGCCGACCACCACCGCTGGGCGGGGATGTCATGGAGGTGCTGCGCCAATCGGTGGCCTGCGCGCGCGCGCCTGCTCCTGTGGCCGCATTACAGTTGTTGTTTACGGTGCTGCGACTGTTGCCTTCCCCATCACCAACGAACGCCGTCTGTCGGCGCGTGCGGGCCACAGCGGGTCGTGGGCGGGAGAAGCTCTCGTTGCCAGCGCCGGCAGTCGGGCCGTACATGCTGGCACCGGGTGAAGCATCTGAGAAGCTGCCGCTGCTCGAGAACTCTGAGGCGTGTGGGACGCCCACACTCCATCCCCACGAACCCGTCGAGGAGAGACGCTCCATCTCCGAAAGCGGCTCCGCAGCCCGTTGCGTACGTGCAGGAGGACGTGCGTGATGATCATGTTCATGATAATGATGGGGATGATGGGGATGGGGGTGCGATGGACCTCCGTGTGTTAGACCCACGGCGGTTGGGGTAACGGAGTGCGAGGAGGCAGTGGCAGCAGCGGCAGCAGCGTCGTTCGCTGAACTGCCGCTGGCTGGCTGAAGGCGCCGCCGGCTGCGATGCACCGAATAAAGGCACCATGCACACAACACGTCGAGTAAGGGCAGCGCACCGGGACAGGCAAGAAGCGTCGCCACGGCGGTGTGCTGCCGCAGCGAGGACGAGGCGGGACAGAGGTGGCGGACAAGCGCGAGAAGCGCGGTGGCGCCATGCGTGAGAGACGCCGCGGCGGCGCAGCGCTGGCCGTAGACCTCCCACACATACAGCAGCACCGAGACAACGGCGCTGAGCACGTAGGTACCCGTTAGCACGAGCAGGCAGCCCTGCAGGGTACGGCGCCAGAGCAGCAGCATAATCCAAAAGCAGAGGGCGAAGACCGTGGTGGAGGCGGTGGCGATGAGCAAGCAGCGACGACGCCAGCGCCAGCCCCACCCTTCCCACTCCTCGCGATACTGCGCCAAAACGGTGAGAAACGGAATCACCTCCCCGTCGGCTGCGCTGCGCTCCAGGTCCATCGTCAGCCCCACCGGCACGTGGATGCGCTGATCGCGTGCGAGGAGGCGGAAAATGTCGAGGTGGCCCAGCTGCGAGGACATCTCGATCGGCGCCGCCACCACGCACTGCATCGCCGGCAGCGACAGCCCGTGATGCCGCAGCAAGTAGTAGGAGTTGCGAAAGGCGGTCATGGCTTTCGAGAGTCGACTCGGGCGTAGGTGGGGGTGCTGCAGCAGCCAACTCACCACTTCCGCATCCCCAGCGAGGACGCAGACTTGCAGCGGCGTCATATAGAAGCCCGCATTGACCTCGACGGCGGGGTGGTCGAGTAGGTAAAGGAGCACCTCCCGCCAGTGCCGAGCCGTCTGCAGCGGACACCCTTGTGAGTCCTTACGGAGGGAACCGGTGAGCGTGTCATCCGCCGTGAGGTCGCGGCCATGCGGCGTCGCCACTGTCGCGCCTCCCGCAACCCCACTCGCGGCAGCAGCGGCGGCTGCAGCACGAGGAAGGACACACCGGCTTCTCCCCCTCCGCTGCTCCTGCCGTTCCCGCTCCAATCCCATCTCTTCTCCCTCCGGCGCCTCTATTTCAACTTCAGGGGAGCGGCTCCCAAACAACGGATTATCCCGTTGCGCTCCCTGTGGCATGCTGGGAGGCGACGACGACACAGATCGCCCCGTCGCGCACTCCGCCCCACCACTGTCGCCCCCTGAGTGTACGACGAGCAGCGGCGTCGTGCTGATCTCCTCTTCCTCCTCCTTATTCAGCGCATCGGAGGAAATCTCTGTAGGCGAGGTGACCGCCTGGTGCGGCTTCGTCGCGTGCGACGATGGTTGTAGTGGCGGCGGTGGTGGCGTATCGAGCTGGACCTGCTGCTGCTGCAACGCCCGCCGTCGACAAGCCAGGTATTGCCGCAGGGCGTAGAGGAGAGCAGACGTGCCTTCGTTGTTTGCAAACCGGTTCACGTTGACCCCGGCGGCGTCGCCCAACAGGTACATCGCCCGCACGTTGCCCAGCACGACGGCCGTGAAGAAGCCACCGCCGTAGTTGGGCCGGATGCGGTGATGCGACAGAAGAAACGGTACTACGGCCTCCTCCTGCCCTCGACGCACGGCCACCGTAAGCGGGAACCCCGTGTTGGCGTCAAGCTCTTTGACCTCCACGAGGAGGTGTAGGACGTCTATATCCCCTATGCCCGCGGCAACCGCAACCGGCGCACACATGGACCAGTCCCAGAAAGGGTAGGTGAGGAGCAGACGCACTAGTTCCACGCGGAGACAGGGCAGGGGGTGCTGCACCGCCACATCCACCACGCCGGCGCTCATTGTCCACTGCTTCTCCGCGAATTCACGTAAGAGACTCTGCAGAGGCTCCAGCGCACGCAGACTAGCTGCGCGCATGCAGCCCGTCGCCCTGCCCATTGAACCACCACTGCCGCTGGTGTTGTTCCAGCCCCTCGAGGAGCCTCTTACAGAATAGGTCGAGCTCGGCAGCGACAGCGAGGCGGTGGCCGGCACCTCTGTCACGAGCGGCGGCGTCGTCGACCCGCCGCCGGATACTCCTGCAGCCGCTGTTGTAGGAGCTGCATTTACTAAGGGGTCCGTGTGGGCTCGCCGCACCGGCTGCGTTGACGAGGGAGAGCACGTGCGGTGCGAGACGCCAGAAGAGGAGTCGGCGGCCACCAGAAACGCACTGCGCCGCTCCACCACCTTCGCTCGCGCGGTGGTCGACCCTGCGCTCCCTGTCGGAGAGGTGATGTCTCTGCTCGCGGGAAGAGCAGCCGGTACGGCAGAGAATCGACCGCTAGGAGACGGCGGTGGGGCGGCGCTGGCTGCTGTGACACCCTCATTCACCTTCATGAGCGCCGCCAAGGTGTTGTACGCATACAGACGTGCGACGACACGCCAGACCTGCCGTTCGCAGGGCTGCGAAGGCAGGGGTGTTTTGTACGCACCATCGGTGACGAAAGGGTCCTTCGGCCACGACATTGTTGATGACGGCTACGCGCCTCCTCCTCAACAACAACAGCAACAAAAATGGAGAGGACTTTTAAAAAAGGAAGAAAGACGAATGTTAAATGATCGGGCACCGAGAAAAAAAAAAGACCGGGAGAGTTAACGTAAGCGCGTATGTGAATGGCGGTGGCCAAAGGACGCAACAGCGAGGAGGAGGAGGAACGAAGGCTACGGAGTCGCACAGGAGGATAATACGAGAAACGTAAAACAGCACTACACCACTATCTTGTAGTGCTCTGCATGGAATTCCGTGAGTCGGCGTGGGTGGCAGCGTGTACGCAGCCCCTCTTTTTCTTAGATGTGTGAATACAGCAAACAAACAAAAAAAATTGCAAATAGAAGAATGAAACAAAGAAATAGAAGCAGTAGTGCTTAGCGTCTGTGATCGTCTGGTAAAGCAGCCGGACCAAGTTCCGCTCGTTTTCTGGAGGGAACCAGGAACATATAGTTCGTACCCACGAAAGACAAAGAAAACAGATATGGACACGTTGAAAGGCAAGCTCAACTGTCCTGTTTCTTTCGTTTCTTTTTCGAGCGTGTGTGTGTGTGTGTGTTTGTGTGGATGCAGAGAGTGTAGAATTTCGATACGCGGCGCGGCGGTTGGGTCAGGAAGAGTCGCTTCCGCAACGAGACTCTGCGCGCGGGTGGATTACAGAAAAAAAAGAAAAAGGAAGAGAGGGAGAGAGTGGCTTTGTTGACTTCAATTACGTTCGATGTGGACGTTATCTGCGATTTGCGCTAAAGCCGCTTTCAACATAGCCGTTGACAGCGGACCGCGACGTTCGCACCGAGAGCTCTCGGATTTTTTATGGGAGGTCGAAACGTGCGTTTTTGGATCGCTTCCCGTTCCACAGTAAATACGCTCCTCCACTACCAGAGCCGGCAGGCGTGAGAAGGACAGTACATTCAAGAGCATACAAAGAAGAAAAAAGAACAAGGAGAGGAAGGAAAGGGAGGCAGCGGAGGAAGCAGAATACAGTAGAAACGTGCAGCGTGACTAAGCACCCCATTGCAGGAAAGGCGGCAGCTTTCAAAGGCTGCCTTCGCCTTACAAACCTTACGTAGCTATCCGTTCGGAACAGTAATAGGAGAGTCCCTGCCGACTCGCTGAGTGAAAGAGCCGCCGACTCCTTTGCTAGTGCCCGCCACGAACGGGGAGTCTTTGGTCACGCTCCCATACCAGCCTACTCAGATACAGCTAGATCTATTTTTTTTTTTTTTGCATCAAGGGAAGATAGTATACGCTACTGTTTTACAAAGAAGGCCACTCCGCTCTTCACGGATGACGGAATGACCAGCCGCAGAGTGGCAGGCTGAGGCAACCGACACATGCAACCATTGGCACTTTCGCCGAGGCGCGTACTCGCATATATATAGGTATATGTTTGTATTTCCCTTTCCTTACCCACCGTTGAAGTCCTCCACACACACTCGTGCGTGCGCGAAATTTTCCTTGGCTCACGTGCACCGCTTCCTTGTACAGCCGCTAACCTTCTCCCAATCTTATTTTCCAGCCATCCGAAAAATCTTGAAAGAAAAATGAAAACCACTACAACGAACAGAGAAGCTTAAGAAGAGTAACAACTGAAAGGGAGGAGAGGAGGGAGAGAGGGGGAAGGAGGGGAGAAGCCACATAAAGAGGGAGATGAAAAAACAGAAAAAGCAACAACTCGAATTCGTGAACAGGCTGCCAATGGACGTGCATCCAAGAGGGAGGGGGAGGGGGGCGAACAATTGGTCCCGTGAAAGAGAGAGAAAACGCACAGGGGAAATATGACGTGGTGGTCTTTAGCGGACCCCCTCCGTAGCTCTCGCTTCTCCTCTCATACAAACGAACGGCTTCATTCAAAAAAATAATTCAAATTAAAATGATTCCGCAATGATGTCCCTATTGCGCCGCTCTTCCAAAAAAAAAAAGAGTACTCATTCTCGCTCTGAGTAGGAAGTAGCAAAGTAGCACCAGTTTGAAAACAGAAATATATACGAACACCTTCTGTTACTGCAAATGATAAAAAAAAAGTTCAGCATTATTAGGCTAAAAACAACACACACACACACGCACACACTAAGCAATACTCATGTACCAAATACTCACCACCACGACAGCACTCTCTACAGACAGCAAGGAAAAAAACCCTGCAACGCGAAAGTGCGGTTACTGAACGCACGACGACGTCTTCTTTCCCCGCAAGAGATTCAGCTCAGAGTGTAAATACGAACCGTAGGAGCTGCTGTGGACACAACGGACTATAGCGGAAAGCAAACAAACAAACAAACAAACAAACAACACACAGCTGTCCATGTTGGCGCGTTTTAGGCGATAAAAACACAAACAAAAACATGTGCGAAAAGAAATCAAAAAGAAGCCTTCAGCAACTGGAAAGCAAAGAGAGTTGCTGTGCCTCCTTGATGATTGGCACGCTACTCCACACGAACGCCACAACAAGAGAAAAATAAAAAATAAATATATAGAGCAGAAAGCGATCCTCCTCACCACGCAAATACAGGAAAAGCAAAAGAAAAAGGCAAGATTAATAGTTAAAAATATGAAGGAAAACAACATTAAACAAAACAGTAAGGTAAACGAAGTTAGAAGAAGCAACAACGCAACACTGGAGCTCAGCAGCGTCTGGTCCAACGGCCCCGAAGAGAGAGAGAGAGCGCGAGGAAGGAAAAAGGGTGAATATTCAACGATAATCAATACCAATAATAACAACAAAAGAGATAAGCAAAAGGAGAAAAAAAGACAGTATAATCCGCACCGTCATGCACTACCTTGCATTCGCTCTACACTCTCCAAAAATAACAAAGGCAGATATGCAAACTTAAGTATTATATATTTATTTCAGTTCAAATATCCCTTCGCGTTCTCTGCAGCTGTGCTTTAAGAAATCTCCGCTATCATTCCATTATCCCCTTTTTACTTTACAAAAAAAAGCCTCCTGATTACACCACTACAGGAGAAGGCGCCAGCCATCGTGGTTTCTCTTCTTCGTCTCAGCTCGCACATTACAGTGGCGCCGTCGTCGGGTAGCCGTTGTTTGGGTTCGCCGTGCCCTGGCAACTCGGGTTGTTGCCGCCCTGGTTGTTTGTCTGATAGGGGCCCTGTTGGTTCTGCGTGTAGGGGTTGTTGTTGTAGTACTGCGCTGGCGGCACCGCCGGCGGTTGGGCGTAGGCCGGATTGCCACTGTAGTTGTAGTACGCCGGCTGCGCCACGGGGTAACCGGTCGCCGGTTGCTGCGGCGGGGCGCCGTATCCGTTCACTGGCCCTTGCTGTCCCTCGTAGTAGGGCTGGTTGTTTCCATAGTTCTGATAGGCGCCCTGCTGTTGCTGCTGATCTTGGTAGTACTGCGTCTGCTGCTGCTGGGCCTGTTGCTGTTCATCGTACTTCTGCTGCTGTCTCTTCTCTTTGGCCGCCGATGCAGCCTGCGATACGCACAGCGCCACGCAGCACGCGATAAGTGCGGCGCACAGTCCAATGCACAGGAAGTCACCACCGTCCATGTCACCAAAGTAGCGCTCGCGCGCGTACAGCAGCAGCAGCGTCGTCTCCGGTGCAGCGGGCAACTTCGCAGGCAGCTGCAGCACACCGCCGGCCGACACCACCTCGTGCAGCGTCGTGTGAGGGTGCAGCGCCACCAGTGTCTCGCTTTCCTCCGCCGCCGCCTCTGCCACCGTGCAAGCTCCACCCACGCGCTCCGCACCCGCACTCGCAGCAGCAGCAGGCGCAGGCGCACGCACCGCAAAGAACAGCGCGTCCGCCAGCGAGTCCGTCGACCTCGCCCTCGCACGCCACCACCACTCATCCGCAGACGCCGTCGACGACGCCGCCTCCTGCGCCGCCAGGAAGCCGCGCAGCGTGTGCACCGTCGTGGAGGGCGGCACACGCAGACGCGTCCCACACAGCTTGTGCAGTGCCCGCAGCGCCGACTCAGACGACGCAGCAGCACACGCGTGGCGGCCACCGTCGGCGGTCCCGGCCTGCACGGCACGCTCCAGCGCCTCCTGCGTGCTGGCCGTCGCCTCTACGCAGAGCACAGAAACGAGGGCCTCCTCCGGCCCCGCCGGCGCACCCGCCAGCATCTCCTCCATCTCACGACTCTCCGACATGCGTTGTCCACGGCGAAGGATGGTTCGTGTTTTCTATGAATAAGTTGTTGTGTGGTTTCGTTTGCTGTGGAAGTGCTCGAATCGGTGAAGACTCGTCAGTTGGTCAGAAGTAAGAAGAGAGTTAGCGTTGGAGATAAGCGCTTTCACACCAAAAAAAAAAGAAGAGGACAAAGCTGCAATGATCAGCTCCGTTCCTCTACCGCCACGATCCCAAGTGGTACACGCTCACAATTCACGTGCATCGACTTCATGACCAGCACTGTGTATCGGCGTGTCCTCTTGCATCGTCATTGGACACACAAACTCTTCGTTGGTGTGCTGCTTCTTTTGCGATGCCGTTGATAGCGTTGTATGCCTACCCTTACTTGAGTGCGTACCTTTGCAGATTCGATCCAAAGCAACATCTTCGAAACACCAATAATAACACTAATGCGAAGTGATAGAGCAGCAGAAAACAGAAAAGAGAGAAGTAAAGGAGAAGAACCTCCGCAACGACTGAGAAACCAAAAATCCAATCCACTTCGACGGTTAGAAGCAAAAAAAGAAGAAGAAGAAATGCAAGTGATATCAATGAGCGTAAATGACTTAAAAGGAAAAACAGTAGAAGAAAAAATGTCCGTTTAAACCAGCAGAAGCCAGAAAGCACGTCTACAGCAGAGACACCCGCACCACCCACGGTACGTCTCTGACACGCCCTCACCCCACTCCAGACCGCACCAAGCACAAAATAACGTACGGAGAGAAGTCAAACGAGATGCCTGTGTTTCTTCATTCCCCTTGATGGATCAAGGGAAACAGACGTATACAAAATAAGGAAGCAGAACGTTATGGCAAGGAGAAAGACCGGCTGCCTCCAACCTAAAAGTAAAAGCAATACGAACAAAGAAGAGGGGGAGGGGGGAAGGGAAGGGAGGCTCCATCGTGCAACGAGTGACTCTCACAAGAGCCAATAAAAGATCTCGATGCGTTCACCGCTTCAAAAAATAAATCGGCAACGACGACGCCGACAACGGAAAAGGAAAACAACACGAAACGGACATGTAACTTTTCGCAAACGAAATGGAAACGTCGATTCATATGGCGAATCGAGGCGAACGATCGAGAAACACACGCACGCACACACACGCACACCCCTATCCAGCCTGCTGCTCGCCTTCGCACTTCATCTCGCATGCATCGCCACACCACTACGCGGTTCCCATATCACTTGTTTCCCGCCTTGGTGTCGTTCTCGCGGTGCTGTGGCTCATCTGTCTGTGCACTTGCCGGGCTCCAAACGGCGTCCCCGCCGGTGGCGTTCAGCGGGCTCCAACTCCATCCCGGTGCGTCGTCATTCGGCTTCGGCGATCCGTACTGAGGCTGCGCCTCCACATGCTTCGCTGCCTCACCGCTAGGAATGTCCTCCACCGCTTTCTTACAAGTGGGGCTGTCCAGCGTTGCGACCTCCTTGGTCTGGGCAGGATCGGCTTTGAATGTCAGCCCGCCCTTGGCGTCGTCGTCTCTGAGATCGTCATTCAAAGACGCGGGGTAGAGCGCGGGGGGCAGACCGTGAGGTGGTGACGAGCCGGACAGGGGAGACGACGCTGAAAGAGGCTGCGCTGGTATGAGGACGGACGGCGGTGGGGTCGGTGAGGACGGCGCGGCGCGAGCAGGCGGTGGTGGTGCTGCATTGTAGCTATACGACGTAGGTGGGCCTATCACATACCCGTTTGCTGGCTGCTGTTGTTGCTGCTGCGGAGGCGGAGGCGGAGGCGGAGGCGGGGGAGGTGGGCTTCCGTACGAGTTGGGCCATGCGGGTCCCTGATGGTACGGCGGCTGGGCCGGCGGCATCCCCTGTGGATAGCCTTGATATGATCCTTGCTGTGGTGGTTGCGAGGGGTCATAGCTCTGTTGTTGCGGTGGTGGTGGTGGTTGCTGCGGAGACTGATAGTACTGCTGCTGCGCCTGCTGCTGCGCCTGCTGCTCTTGCTGCTCTTGCTGAGCCTTCTTCGCCTTCTTTTGGTCTTTGTGTTGATTGACAGCTTTCACCGTTTCGCGAATGCACATGTGGGCGATCCACGCCCCGATGGCGGCGCAGAAACCGAAGATGCAGGCGTCAACCATGTCACCAAAGTAGCGCTCGCGCGCGTACAGCAGCAGCAGCGTCGTCTCCGGTGCAGCGGGCAACTTCGCAGGCAGCTGCAGCACACCGCCGGCCGACACCACCTCGTGCAGCGTCGTGTGAGGGTGCAGCGCCACCAGTGTCTCGCTTTCCTCCGCCGCCGCCTCTGCCACCGTGCAAGCTCCACCCACGCGCTCCGCACCCGCACTCGCAGCAGCAGCAGGCGCAGGCGCACGCACCGCAAAGAACAGCGCGTCCGCCAGCGAGTCCGTCGACCTCGCCCTCGCACGCCACCACCACTCATCCGCAGACGCCGTCGACGACGCCGCCTCCTGCGCCGCCAGGAAGCCGCGCAGCGTGTGCACCGTCGTGGAGGGCGGCACACGCAGACGCGTCCCACACAGCTTGTGCAGTGCCCGCAGCGCCGACTCAGACGACGCAGCAGCACACGCGTGGCGGCCACCGTCGGCGGTCCCGGCCTGCACGGCACGCTCCAGCGCCTCCTGCGTGCTGGCCGTCGCCTCTACGCAGAGCACAGAAACGAGGGCCTCCTCCGGCCCCGCCGGCGCACCCGCCAGCATCTCCTCCATCTCACGACTCTCCGACATGCGTTGTCCACGGATGCAACGGATGATTGTACTGGTTTATACGTATATATATATTAAAGTTAAGTGTTTTTTGTTTTTAACGTTTCTCGCCACATCAACGAAAAGTCGAGTTGGAGAATCCGCAACGGCAAAGACGGGAAGGTAAGATAGAGGGATTGTAATCATCATCATCAGCGTCAGCGTCAGCATCACCGGTACGTTTCCATCAGTTTGCAGCCGGCCGCAGCAACAAAAAAGAAAACAAAATGAACGGACATCACGGTTGTTGTGAGCGCAGCGCGGGTTTTATGGGGGAAAGGATCAGAAACACGCCGTTATCAATAAGATACATGGCATTGCCCGACTCTTATACGAGAGAATTACACCCTTTGCGATTCCCCTTTGTAGCCGTATATGTGTTTTGCTTTCGTGTTTCTCGTGGGAGACGAAACCGCTAGGTCGCCTCTTTCGTGCTTCTCGCGGAGTTACTTGCAGCACGTACTCGGATGGTCCTTTTTTCGTTGTCATAAAAAACACTGCGAGTGTAAAGGCGTGATAAGCAATTACATGATCAGGAAAGAGGAAAGAAAAATCGAAGGAACACTACGAGGAGAAAGCTAAAGATTCAGAAGGGGTGAACTATATGAATATATAGATTTATATATGCATTTACAGCGGCACAATTACTAAGAAGAAAGAGGCTTGTAGAAAAAAAAAAAAAATAATATATATATATAGACCGCTGTGTTTGAAGGACAGTCGATCTCTCTACTATGAAAAGACATTACATCGGCTAACAAGAGAGGGAGAAAACAAAAAATAATTGAGATAATGCTGCCAGCGGAGTGCAAAAGTCAACGATTGAAAAGAGGAGGCGAACAGCGCACGCGAGACACAAAAGGCATGCCTCGGCTCAACACAACAGCAACGACAACAAAGCGGTCACTCACATAAAGCACCTGTACGGATAAATGAACATTTAAAAATTCAAGGAGGAGAAATAATTAAAAAGGACGCCGCGTTGGACTGCGGCGGTGAACAAACTCTACAGCTGAAGCAAATGAGTGTCGCATTGAAAGAAAAGCAAACGAAGGGGAGGGGAAACAACAACGAAAATGAGTCCACTGGAAAAACAATAAAGATGGTTACGCTACACTAGCAAGTACAGTATAGAGCACCTTTGAGATTTCCTTTTTTCTCTGGAGGGAGAGTTCTGCTGTTGTTGAGCTGAAATGAGGGGACATTTAACAAGGACGGTGAGGCGCGAAAGTAGAAAGCTTTCAACGCGTAAAAAGCAAAGGAGAACACGCAAAACAAAAAGGTTCGCACTCACCTCTGCTGAGGGAACGCATCAACCACATCGCTTTGCCACCGCACTCCCAACGAAAGCGCACGACATCCCACCTTACTCTCCTACAACGGCGCCGCGCCTGGCTGCTGAACTCCTGTGTTGTAGTATCCCGGATTATTATTCATGTTCGGCTGCGGCTGCGGCTGCGGCTGCTGCTGATATTGATTCTGGTAGGGGTTCGGGTTATTTGTGTTGTTTCCATACGCATTGGGTGGCACGCCGTAGCCGTTTGCGGGTGGGTTGTAGTTCGTATTATTATTGTCGTACCCCGTCGGCGCGTAGGGGTTGCCGTAGTTACCGCCGTTGCCGTTGTACTGCTGGTTATTGTTGTTGTCACCGTAATACTGCTGATTATTGTTGTTGTAGTTCGGCTTCCCGCCATTCATGTTGCCGGGCTGCTGCTGCGACTGGTTGTTCTTGCCTTTTGACGTCATGCAGCAGCAGACACCCGCGGCGATGCAGGCACAAAGCGCCACGCAGCAGCCAATGAGCAGCATTATCCCACCGTCCATACCGAAGCGAGCATCACGGGAGTAGAGCAGCACAACGGTGCGCGGCACCGCAGCTGCAGTGGCAGGGACCGAAGGAGAAGACTTCGAAGCAGCCGGCGCATCCCCTTCTGTTGGTTCCGCCACTTCGCTGGGCGGCGCGGCCGTCCCATTGCCTCTCCCCGCACACGACAACGACGCGCCCGCTGCGGCGTTGGCCTCCGCGGAAGTGAAGGCCAGCAGCGTGGGGTCGCGGCCAAGCGTGGCGAGGTCCACCGAACTGGCAAGTGGAATCAGCAAATCGGCAGACATCTCACGCGTCACGACAACGGGGCCGTCAACGCCGTCGACCACCAGCGTCGGGTCCTTCAGCGCAAATACGTGTAGGGAGGAGGGCGGTTCGGCGCTGCAGCGACAGCTGTCGTCCCCACGTCCCACTCGCCCTTCACCCGTGTGACTCAGCAAGAACGACTTCAGCGTCTGCAGCGACGTAGCGGCTGGTGCGTTGAGCAGCACTCCGGTGGAGTTCATGGAAATTCGATGGAAAGCGGCAGCGCGATCCGTCACAGGGGTCTCTAGCACCTCACGCAGACGCAGAAGACTCTGCTTCGATGCGTCGAGACAAAACACGGAAACGACATCCGCTGCAGCAGTGGAGTCCGTCACCTCTGAATCAACGAGGCTGCCCAGCAGCTGCACTGACGGCGTCGGACCACGCAGCATCGCCTCCATCTCTACATGCCCAGCTGTATCCTCGACCGCAGGAGAGCGGGGAGGGGCCGCAGTCGTCGCACCGCTGATGCTTGAGCGCGCGTCGGCAACGCTGTCAAAGGAGGACACAGAAGCGCCCATTTTTCGGTCGTTGCGTGGCTGTGTGAGACAGGCGCAACCTTTGAAAGAGAGAGAGAGGAGAGGAAGGAGGAAGGAGGGGAAAGAGGGGAAAGAGGGGGAACGAAAGAAAAGAATATTGAAGTGAATATGTTAGGGTGGAAAACAACGAAAACAAAGCACAAAGCCGAGTAGCCTGCCGTTTCCTCCGGTAGTCTCGAGAAGCTAGAAATATTTTTTTTTGTTGTCGTCGTTGCCGACTGCGTCGCCGTGTCAAACGACGAACTCGCTCAAACAAACAAAGAGAAAAAACAAGCACAGTTGAGGAGAGACGGAAGCCAGGAAAGATACGGAGAGGAGGGAAGGTGTGAAGGTATAAAACAATGAGAGAGAGAGAAAACGAGATGAGCAGAAACCGTGACGCCGCGGGCGACGGGGCAGCAGAGGAATGCTCGCAGGGAGTCTCTCTGTGAAGGCAGTCCTACCTGCTGCTGAAGGAATGAGACGAGAAAGCCCCCTTTTCTTTCACAATGGAGTAGCAGAGCAGCTGCCCTCCTGCTGAGAGCGCAGGGAACGAACTGGGAAAAGTCAAGAGCAACCATAATAATGATAACTGCCGGTTCTTCTACTATTTTGATAGTAAAGCAACTCACTTAGTTTCCTTTTTTTGCCTTTTAAAAGAGAGAAACCACATCAACAACGTATGTTATATTCGCGCAGTAGCGCACAAGGAAGAAGCAAAAAAAAAAGTGTTCTTAAAGGCAGAAGAACTCAAGCACAAACGGTGCCGCAAAAACGAAGATGGAAACCTTCATTTCAAGAAGGCACCGTCCGTAATGGAAACACAATAATATTACTTGGCTTTTATGGACAGCAACGAAACAACAAAGAGAAGTAAACAGAAACAAGACCAAAAACCCGCATCTTTCCTTTAGTGTTCATATTCGTTTACTTACTTTTCTTTTCACATAGCCTTCTTTTGAATGTGGGGTTTGGAAAAGAAAACAGAGTTACTGCAGATTGAATTAATGTAACGAAAAAAGAAAGAAAAAGGGGAAAAAAATCAGGTAAACAAAGCCAAAATAAGAGTTTATACCTATAGGATACTTTTGCACAGGAAACTCACTACGCTATCCTTTGTGCACCTCAGATGATGTTGGCTTTTCATCAGTGTTATGATTGTTTTAAAACGAAAAGCTTCACCGTTCGCATGGCGGAGTCGTCGTGCTCGAGTGCGGCGCAGCGGTGAGGCGCACAGACGGAGGCGTAAGGTTGCGCGCTGTCGTACGTGACGCACCTCTGCGCCAACTGCAGGCGCATAAAGTGTAGTAGGGAAGTGGTCGCGGGAGCTTCTGTTTTAAAAACAAAAACAAATAAGAAAGAAATATTCCGCGAGAAGAGGTCGATACCCTGATGGAGGGCAACGTGAACGAACGAAAACCGGAAGACAAGAGCTTCAGCACCGCCCCATGTCTGTCCGAGAAGAAATGGAGGGCTCAAAAATTCTGATTTTGAATTTCAGTTTTCCTTGATCAGCGCAAGCAAAACGAATGCAAGAGAACAGTAAAAGAAACAGTAAAAAAAGGGTAAGTAACAGGAGAAGTCAAAGAAAGGAGAAAAGGGAGGAAAAGACGTTAGTTCACGACGCTCAGTTGCAGCAGCAGCAGCACAACACAGTGGCGCACACAGCGGTAAGGCAGGCACACAAACAGCAGTCACTGCAGCCCAGAGCGGTGTCGCGGGCGTAAAGGAGAACCAATGTGGAGGAAGGGGTCGAGTCGCTGTCTTCGTCGGCTGTCTTACCCACACGCACCTCTCCTGGCACGCAGCCGTGCTGAATGGCGATCTGCGGGCAGGTCATCATCTCCTCCACCGTCAACTCGTCGACAAGCGAGATGAGTGGGTCGGCAGCGGCGTCGCTCGCCGCCACGCCGCCACCACCACCACAACCACAACCGCGAGACACGGCAAACAAGTTCAGACGCACGTCGTTGGTGGCGGTAGCGGTGCACTCGCGGTGCTCAAGCTCCATACGGATGTGCCTCACCGTGGTAGACAGCCGCGCCGTCAGCTCAATCGCCTTCATGCCGGAGTGGAGAATGGCCTCTGCCATTGTTGCCGTCGCACCATTGCTGGTCGTGGTGGCGGTCGTCGTTGCCTTCCACTTGCGCAGCATGGCGATGTTGGCTGGGGTGGCCGCAAAGCAGCGAACAGTGATCTCCACAGGCCGCTGCTGCACCGCTGGCATCGTCATTGTCATGGTGTTCATTTCGCCGGACATTGCAAATGCTCCTTTTCTTGGTGCTGTTGGTTGAAAAGGGGGAGGGGGGAGGAGTGAATACGGTAAGAGTAACCTATAGTCCGGATTCGTTATCGAGCGCAAGTTGGCGGCGAAGTTATCGTTTAATCGCGGAGAGCACCTATGAAAGTGATGAGAAGAAATACAAGAAGAGGAAGAAAAGATATACAGATGAGAAGGTCTTGGCAGAGAACGACAGCTTAGAAAGATGCGAGAAGCACCACTCGAAACAAGAAAGGAGTCTTCGCTCGTTGTGCCTCGAAATGGAAAGTGCCGCATTTCTCGGTGGTTTCGGCCGCGCGTTGTGGCCGTTGACACTAGTACCGCTTATGATGGTGCACACCAGCGTCCCTACAGCTTCAATACGGCAGCGCATGGTGGAACGGTGATGTGCGCAGTTCCTTCACAGCGGTTCGAGAGTCAGTGTGCGTCAGCTGCACCCTCTCGTTTTTATTTCTTTTTTTCCTTTAATAATTGGAGATTTTCTGTTTCCGGATACGTTACTGTCGTGGTCTTGTATGAAAGCGAATGAAAAACAAAACAACGCGTCCACCTGCTCGAAACGCGCACAAAGCACGCGTAGGGATGACACTGTAAGCAAGACTGGCGCGAGTCAACCAAACATAGCCGACAAGCAAAAAACAAATAAAAGCAAACAAAACCAAAAAAAAATGAGAAAGCACAACTAAATGAAAACAGAATAGAATACTCGAAAGAAAAGAGACGCACAAATCGAGCGAGACAAGAATAGTAATTCAGAGAAGATGATGAGGGGTCGACATTCCTTTCTTTTATCTCTAAAAAAAATATGTAATAATTACTTTGTACACATGTTCAAAGCCAACAATGAGTGTTGACTATTCCATTGCCTCCTCTCTCTCTCTCTTACTCTCCATCTATCTACCTCTCGGTCTCCGCACACGACGAAGCGCACCAGCGCACAGCTGCCACGAAAAAAAGAAAGTAGCAAGAGCAAAGAGACGCACTCGTTTCGTACACATAGAAACTAAATTAAAACAAAAAGGGGAAAAAAAGGGGAGTAAACAATAACAATAATAATCGAAGAGGTCATTTGATGGAGCAGCAACGAGGTTATAAATTCCGCGGCTGGGAAAGAAGCCACAGAGCACGAGACACGTTCCATGCAGCTCACTTTAAAAGAAATTTTGCGGGCGTGGATTCTCCTTCGCTTAAGCCTTGTCAACCGTGGGTGTGCCATCAACAGGCTAAACCAGATCACAAAAAGACAAAGGGCACTGGAGAGGGCGAAACGCAGCGGACGTGCCAGAAAGAAACGTAAAGAAGAAGAAAAAGAATGCGAATGATTATGGAGGCGGAAGCACCAACTAATGAAAGAAGTGCGTATGCCGGCTGAACAGATCACAAAGAAGACAACGCATCGAAGCGAGCGGCAGCGGCAGAAGAAAAACAAAAAATCTTCACACACACACACGTTATCAGCGATACCAATCCTAGTATTTTTGCTTGTTTGTTTGTTTCCTTCCACTAACAGTTTCGTCAGCTTAGAATTGTTTGTGGGGCCCTTGAGCATCGCTGCCGTTGCTGTAACGCACCTGCGGAGGCGGGTAGTAGAACTGAGCCTGTGGGACACCCGCGTAGGTAGGCGGCGGGTTGTTGTTGTAAGGTGGGTAGTAGGCGTTGTCGGTGGGGTAGCACGCGGGTGTCTCGTGCGGATAGCAGCCGTCTGTACTGCAGCCGCTCAGCGGGTTGCCGCTGCTCACGCGGGAGACACGCGGCGCGCGATGATGGGCGGGCCGGTGCCCGCAGCACCCGCAGAAGATTGACACGATCGCCGCAACGAGCCCGCCACAGCAGCAGCAGTAGCCGCCCCACCGCGACCCCCGTGCGTAAAAGAGCAGCAACGTGGGGGCCGTCGCCGCTGTCACGGCCCTTGCCGGCATCCTGTTGATCTCCTCTCCCTCCGCCGCCGCAACAAATACGTGCGGGCACTTCAGCACCTCTGCGAGGGTCAGCCCATCAGGCAGCGCCACAAGCGGATCGTCGTCGTCTTGCGTGGCCGTCGCCTCCTCGGCGTTCGTCGCACCTCCTGTCGCCGTTGCGGGTGCAGTTTCAGCGTGCGGGGCGCCCCGTCTGACCGCAAAAAGAGTGAGGCAGACGTCGTCATTCGTTGGCACCGCGGTCGCTGCCTTGGGCCCATTGAGTTGCTGACGTGCCACCACCTCGCGGATGTCCAGCACGGTGGTATCCGCCGAAGCCGCCAGCTCCACGCCTGTCGCGCCCACTCGGGAGAGCGTGTCGGCGGTGGGGGCCTCACCGTTGTGGATGCTCTCCAGCAACGCCCGCACCTTCTCCGTGGTCTCGGCGGTCACCTCCACGCAGTACACGTTGACGACATCCGCCGTGACGTCCTGCGCGGGGGCCGTCGCCGCCAGGGCGGCGCTGTCGACAGCAGAGAGCATCGTTTCGAACAAAAATGAGAGACGAAGAGAGTTAAAAAAAAAAAACCTTTGCTTTTCGTAGATGAACGTTTTTTGTATGCCTGGGCACACTTGTGTTTCTTGGATCGCTCCAGCTATGATGTATATGGCGCAAATGATCGATGATGCGTCATGGCGCAGACATCCCCGCACAGTGGGCAGCGGAAAGTACACAGGAAAAAGAGAGAAAGAGAGACAGATAGAACAAAAGTACTCCATTGCGTTTGCTAAAAATTTGAAAAAAAGGAAAAGGAGGAGAGAAAGCGGCTGAACGAGTCCCACCGCAATGACACAGCTCAACCGGAAAAAGAGAACCGTTGATTATTACCTTTTGAGAAAACGCCACCATCACCACGAACAGCAAGAAGACGGCTTTCAAAAAACTCGCGTTAATGCAGCGTTGCTTTCATTTCCGTTTCTCTTTTCAGAGTTCTTACTACTGATGCAGCAACGCTGTGCAGTCTAAAACGATAATGTCCAGGAATGGAAAACAGGCAGGAAAAAAAATCACACACCATCGCCTTTCGAAAGGCGATCCCTTTTTTTTTTTAAGAGGAGGACGAGGGGATGCCTGCAGAACCTACTTCACCACGGCACCTGCGGTGTTCTTCTCCTCTCGAGAGAGCCACGGAAAGCGCTGCAGAAGGCTTGCACGAGCCTCAGGCGTGAAGGGTGGCACCGTGCCCTCACCCTCTCCTTTCAGCAGTTGGACAAGACCGTTTGCATCCTGATCCACCAGCATGTTCGCCGCCACGCTTGCGCACAGCTGCTGCAGAGCAGGCACGCCGAGTCGAGTTGCAGCCTCCAGGATTCCGCGCAGACGCGTCCACATTTGCTGACGATTTGCGGGTGAAAAGACCTTCAAAGCCTCCGGTGCGGGGCGGAGATCGCCTGTGCGATTATCCGCAGACCACCCAGCAAGATCCACCCACCGCGCCTCCTTGACGAGCTCGAGCAGCGTTATCTGCTGCCACGGGAGACCAAACAAGCAGTGGAGCACAAAGTGGTGCTCCCACGGAGAGAGCGCGTACAGGTCGGCGAAGTTCAGCGGACGCCGCAGCGCTGCGGGTGTATCGGCACTGTGGTTGAGAGCGGTGTTGTGCGACGCGGAGAGGCGTTGCCCTCCGCGGACGGCATCTGGTGCCAGCGCGGTGGCAGCGTCCCAGCCCGACACGCCGTAGAAGTGCTCCATGTACACCGCCACCACTTCAAACACTTGCCGGTCCACAAAGGGGAGCGGAAGCACGACGGAGCTGCCATCGCAGGACGGAGGCAGCGAGTCCTCCGCTGCCCCTGTCGCCGGACCACCGTTCACTTTAACTGTGGCCTCTGCGTTCTCGAGCGAGTCCGCCAGCAGATCCCGCAGCGTCACCGAGCTGCGCTGGACAATGTACGCCGGGCACCGATAGCGCCACGGCGGTGTGGAGCCGTCGCCTCCGACGTCGAGCAGGACATCGGAGGACTGGAGGGTGGAAAAGCAGGCGGGGGCCGCTGTTCGACCCGCGCCTCGTGCCTCCTCCGGTGACGGCGTCACCGACGACGCAGACGTCGTACTGCCCGCCTCCTTGCTACAGAGCTGAATGCTGCGGAGCTGAAAAGACTTGTCCGTGATGCTGCTCATGCTGTCGAAGTCAGCGGCGCAAAACAGATTAAAAAAAACGCTGTTGAAGGCGGACAATGACAAGCCCTTCTTTACTCTTCTCTCCTTTCTTTTGTGTACTGTTCGATGCTTGCGAAACTGCTTTGGTGTCTTTGGGAAGCAACACCACCGAGTAGACGCGTTACAGGAAGGACTTTTTGGGGCTGCAACCGCCGTCCTGAAAGAAAGCCGATATGCATATACAATAATAAATTCCGATGGTATCCGCAAGGACAGAGGGCGTAAGCAAAAAATCAACAACCAGCGAATTGGCAGCACCAGAAGAGAGGCAACGGTGCTCGTCTTTTACCCTTAATGCTCCTTGTAACACTGTCCTCGCGGAACGCTTTCCAGCGTAGAGCAGCACGATGTAGAACGCCAAACGATCTATGAAAAAAAAAAAGAGAGACGGCGAGAAAAGGAGGAGAATAGTCTACAGAATACGTACGCACGTACACAGCTGCACACACACATACACACACACACACACACAAGGACATGTACTCATGCAGGTGTCAACATCAACAGCGACCACACAAAAAAGAAGCGTCAAACTCTCGGCTTCCCACGTCATCTCTTTTCTCCGTTTACGCAACAGGCACGCAGAACAGAACGAGGGGGAGGGATGAGACACGCTAGCGCGTCCTTGCTGGAGAACGCACAAAGATGCGGTACTACCTGCCGCAAAAAAAAAAAAAGAGATGAGACAACTCGCACACTTGCCCACGCGCGGACATCAAACCGGTGATTGAGGGTCTCTTCTCCGTTGTGCTGTTCATTTAGCCTGAACAGCGGCGCGGTAGCCCTTGAAAAGAAGAGCCTTGAACAATGCCTAACAGGTATGCTCTCAGTTCTTTCCTGGTCTCCTTTTACATCTATATATTTTTTTACTTGTTGTGGACTTCAATTCAAAGGCACTTTTTTGTTTTAGTTGAATTAATAAACATGAAACGCACTCATCGTCCAAAACCAGAATGCAGCAACACAAAAGAAAAGTTGGGCGCATAGAAGAAGAAACAGACCTTTTTTTTTGCTATCGTACTTTTTAAGTATTTTTTTTTTTGAACTTTACTTTCTCGTTCATCTTTTTTCTTTTCTTTCTCTTGCCGTTGCTGTCTCCTTCAGGCTGTGTGGCGACTACTTCTCACCCGCCCCTTCCCTCGTTCTCTTGCTTCGTTTCCTGTGGTCGCTTGCTGCGGAAGAGAACAGCAAACAGACGTGCAAGAAGCGGTTCCAAACACACACCCACTCACACACACACAGAGAGAGAGAGAGGAAATGAAATGATGACAGCAAACAAACAAGCCAAACAAACAAAAAAAGAGTACGACAGCTTTACAAACGATACTGTATACGTTTCTCAAACAAACAAAAAAGAAGAAGACCACCACCACCCCAATAATAATACTAATATTAGTTTAAACAACGTATAAGGTATATTCACCCTAACAAGGAAAAAAGACCAAACCGTAACACACCGCAGCAAAGAAAGAAAAACAAAAAGCAAAATAATAATAAGAAATGAAGACCCACGTTGATTTACGGCAAACACAACGTTTTAGACCCAACAACACAACGATAAAGGCACTCTCTCTCTCTCCACCAAAGCGAAGCGAGAAAGCGGCAGCGGCAGATAAGGCAAGAAAAGAGCAGTACAGGTTTGCTTTTCGTTTGTCACAAAAAGTGGGTACGTGTTTGTGTGTGTCTCACACACCAACCTACGCACCCCTTACGCACCCTCCCCCCCCCCCTCCCTCCGGAAGGGTGGCATAGAAAAAAAGAGGAATGAAAGGGCGTAGCGGCAACAACAAGGAGGTCGGGCAGAAGACGCATCAAACGCGACAAAAGCAGCGCACGAGCGAGCACTCCTTAAAGAGAAGAAGGACAAAAAAGAGCCACCTTTGCAGAACGTGAAGGGGGTACTGAGAACTCGCAGAAAAGAAATATGTATATACTTGTGTAAGAGACACAGAGAGCAACACACAAGTAAAAGCGATACCAACGTCTAAGACGAAATCTTGACCTTTCCTCTTTTTCTCTCCTCGGGGTCAGTGCTGAATACACGCAAGAAGACTTATTCATGGCTGCTGCGTCTGCTCCATCCGTTTCGTGCTCTTGTTATTGTTGCTGTCCAACACACACACACGCATTTTTTTTGTTTTTCCATCCTTCTCAGTAAAAAAAAAGTTCGTTGCGCATTAAAGAAGAGAGGAAAGAAGAGGAAGAAAACAAAAAAGATCCTAGTGCCAGGAGGTGATGCAACGACGCAGGAGAACAGGAAAGACCAAAAAAAAAACATGTTGCTTGTGCCTCCGTAGAATGAAACACAGAACGACCTTAGCCTCAGAGAACCGTTCAGACCCTTGCATCGAAAACGCTGTCGTGGCTCACCTTTAAAAAAAAAACAAGTTTCTTTCTTTGAAACATCGACTTCGCCCTTCTTCATTTATTTAGAAGAGTTGAGCTGCATTCCTTTTTTGAACTTACAAACCTCTTTACCGTGGGCGTTCTTCCGTTCTTCCGTTCTCCATTGATTCTCCTCTCCTTTGTCATCTTTTGGAGTTCCGTCATCGCTAACTCCAAAAGTTGAGGTGAGAGGAGCAAGATATAGAAAGAATGAAAAGATGTGAATACAGCTATTCGTCAACGTACGTGCAACGCGCAAAAACGCCAACGCCGCTATCTCTCACAACAACGAAGGGAGGGGGAAACAAAGACACACACACCCACACAATCAGAACAAAGCCAATTCACTTCATCCATCCAGTATAATGGCACAAGCATGCGCGGCGACTACGGATGTATATTTATAGAACGAGGCACCACCGCATAGGGAAAAAAGAAAGAAAGAAAAAACAGTTGACAACCTGCACAAAGAGAGACAAAGACACAGAAGAGAACGAGAGAGAGAGCGAGCGCCACACAGGCACCTGTGTACAAGTAGAGTAAAACATGTATAGTTGACTAGTGAGAGAAATCCCTAGATGTACATGTATAACAGAAGTCGAGAGAGAGAGAAACAGGAGGAGATGCCCTGCATCAATAAGCAGCCGTTTTTGAAGTTTTACTATCAAGTTTCTACCTCCACAACGCGGAGCACAAAGAACAAACAGAAAGCATCAGCAACAACGACAGATACGACGAAAGAGAACACGCAGCCCGGGCACACAGAGCACCGAAGACGTGAAAAACAAGAGGCGCGTAACAGTAGAAAAAAAAACACACGGTCCGCAAGCGGGGTCGACGAGCGCATGAGGAGGAGGGAGAAAGAAAAAGGGGGCAACCTGTCACCATGACGAAAGCGGTTCAACGATTCTTTGTGATATCACTCTCTGTGTTAGCAACCCCTGACTTTCAAAATGCTTTGTCTTCCGAGAATCTTTTTATCTTATTGTTGTTGTAACTGCTCTTCGCATCCATGCTCATCTCGGGCACCTACGCCTTGGGGGGAAGGACGCGGAGAAGTGAATAAAAGTACTCCACGCCTTTATTCCGGCCGCCTCAGACCTAACTCACCTTCCTCTCTCTCTCTCTCGCGCGCGCTCTCTGATCTTCGATTTCTTCGCATCTTTTAGTGGTTTATCGCCCGCTTGCGGGTCGGTAAAGGAACTTCCTCGGTTGTTGTTGTTTTTTTGGTCTTCTCCTACTGCGTCTGTTCACCCATGAGGGACAGCAAAATCGACAGCGGGATGCCGGCCTGCTGCTGCAGAGACTGCAGGCGCTCCATCTGATCACTGTTCCCGTTGGCTGACGCCTCGCACAGCTTGTGGAAGTAGTTCGTGAACCACTCTTGGCGGTCCGCCCCTGTGAGCTTCGCGTCCGGGCCGGCCTCGAACTGGTCAAGTTCCTCCGTCTCCTCGGGGGTGAGGGCCTCAGCGTTTTTGAGGGTGTCGTAGCGCTTCTCTAGCAGCGCCCCGACCGTCGTGTTGCCCTTGTCTGCCATCATCTCGTACGCCTTGCGGAACCCGCTATTGCGGGGCGCGCTAAACGGGCCGGGCACGACGGTGGAGTGCGGCTCCGCCGCGAAGTCGCTGCCGTCGCGGAACTGCACAATAACGCAGGAGATGTTGTCGCGGCTGCCGCGCTCGATGGCCTCCTCGCACACCCGACCCGCCACCTCCGCGAGGTCGCTGCACGTCTCCAGCTGCTCCTTGACGTAGGCGACGACCTCCTCGTTCGGGAAGTTGCTCTCAAACACGCCGTCGCAGCACAGCAGCACGAAGTCGTTCGAGTTAAAGGTGAGGTCCTTGTGCTGCACGTCCGCTAACGCGATGACCTTCTGCTCCAGCTGGCCGCCATCGCCGAGCTTATACTCGCGGTCACCAAAAGCGCGGCTGACGGCCAGGCTGCCGTCGACGCGGTTGTTCTCGACACGGCCGCCGCAGTTTTCGATGCGGTTGCGCTCCTCCTCATTATTCGGCTTGTGGTCCTCCGTCAAGGGGACGCAGACGCCGTCGATGCAGGCCACCACGCGGGAGTCGCCTACGTTGCCCACCTGCAGGTGCATCGTGTTGCCGTTCTTCTGGGCTACGAAGAAGGTTCCCGTGCTGCCGCCCTCGCGGCCGGAGTCCATCCATTCCTGATCAATCCGCAGCGCAATCTCCTTCATCCTGTCATCCGTCATCGGAATCGGCTCCTTCTCGATGGCTTTGCGCCATGCCCCTTCCAGGTACTCAGAGCACTGGTCGTTGACGTGACCGTCAAAGACACCGAAGAAGCCCCAGGTGTCCGTCATGTAGGTCAGGTGTGCGTCCTCCATCGTCTCACGGTACCCGTTGACGCAGTTGGAGCCGCAGCGGAAAATGGCATTTCCGTAGCGCTCCTGGAGCTGCGTCATCACCGGCTTCGGAAGAGGAATACCCATTTTTTCGGTGCCGTGGTAATCTCAGAGAAAAAAAACAGAAGAGAAAAATTCCTTTCTTAAAAAGAAATTGAACAACAACAATAGCTGGAAAAAAAAAGTTGGGAAAGAAGAGTGGTGTTCTAAAAAGGGATCCTTCGTTTCTTTCTTTTCTTCCTACTGTACGGGTTGCGTGTATCTGTTATTGAGAGATCAACGATGTGGAATGGAAGAAAAAAAGTCTTGCGAGAAAACGTGCACAGAGAAATACAACTAGACGAATCTGCTGCTAAATGGGATGGAGAAACCCGAAACAAGCAAACAACAACAAAAAAGGGGCAGTCAATGAAATAGAATACCGAGGAGTTGGTGAAAACTTGAGTCGGACAAACGTTAGAATTTCTCTTCTAAAGAGAACAACAGGGACAAAAAAAAGGTGTTATAGAAGAATATCTCTGTATAGATATCTTTGGTTAGGAGAGACTGCGAATCAGCGAAAGAAGAGAAGGTCAAGAAACGGAAATGCGACAAACGAGGCGGGAGTAAAAAAAACCTTTTGCTTTTTCACAATCGAGAATTCATTAATATTGTTGTTGAAGCAACAACACCAAAAAAGAGAAGAGTCGTGGCAGACCAGGCATTCAATCCGATTGAGAAACGGAAAAGAACGGCAGGAAAAGGGGAGAAAGCAAGAACGATGCACGTGCATGCGTGCGGTATCAAACGCGGTGCAGGAGCAAAAGGAAAATACAAGAAGGTGAAGGGAGGGAAGTGGGAGAGAGGAAAGGGGGGGGGGGAGGGAAGACAGCGCTGTAAATGCGATCTGAAGAGCACAAGCGAGCGGAATACGTCACTCGAATTCAATCAAACACACACACACGTTCCTACGAGCATTTAGACCGTTTCAACCAATCCAATGCTGCAAGGAACAACGTTATCCTTACATTTTTTATTATTATTGCAGTTTTTTCTTTTTTTGGTTTCGGAATGTGTGTTCGATTCACATACCTGACATGGAGCAAGAAATATTTTTTAAGTTTCTTTAAAAACAACACCAATGCATATTGCCAATACTGAACCGTCGCGTGATAATAGGTATTTTAAAACATAAGAGGTCTCATTATTTCTTCCTTTTTCTTGGAGACGAACGTGACTCTTTCCTAAGAACCCCCGCTGTCGTCACGGGAAAAAGGGGAAACGCGGCAAACGGACAGACCCCACTGCATACTGCCTACCTTTTTTTTTTTAAGGGTACCAACAAGGAAGGCCGCTGCACGTACACGCGCACACGGGCACACGGTCTCGACGCCGTCACGCAGGCACAGAACACAGAGAGAGAACGAGAGAGAGAAAAGGGAGCCCTCGTACGGGAGACGGACAGCACAGGGCAGAACCCACTTTCAGCTTCGAGAGAAGGGACCAAGCTCGCTCGAGCTTGACAACGACAGTCGATAGTGGCAATAACAATAATAAAATAGTGATGATAGGGATTTGTTTTTGTATATGTAATGATGAAAGCAGAGAGAGAACATTTTTTTAAAAAAGTGTTTTAAATAAATAAATAGCCGAAATGAAGCACTGCGATGTGTGCGGTGAAGATACGCGACAAGAAATGATGTTGTATATACGTTTGTGTGTGTGTGTGTGTGAGGATGTTTGTGTCTAATCACGAACAATAGATAGTTTGTGGCTTGGACTCGAAGGAAAAAGAAAGAAGAAAAAAAAGGAGCAACTAAGTGTTCAGAAACACCCAAAAAGACTTCCTTTGTATTCCGTCTACAAGGTTATTCTTCTCTTCTTATGTGGCTAAAAGTCACATTTCACAACTTTGCCTTGTTGGCGAAAGAATGTGAAGGCCGAGACATCACTGCGTTAAAAAAAAAAAGGATTGCACAACCTGCTCCGTTACCACGACGCCTTCTCTTGCCCTCTCAGCGCGTGAAAAGGAATTGTAGGTCTTCCTCCGACAGCTTATTCAACGACTGCATCTTGCCATCAATCGTGCCTTCAAAGACAAGCATCTTCTTGTCCTGCAGATCCACCATGCGCTCCTCCACCGAACTCGCGGTCACGAAGCGAACGGCGTGCACCGGTCGCGTCTGCCCAATGCGGTGGGCCCGCTGCACCGCCTGCATCTCCACGGCCGGGTTCCACCACGGATCGGTTAGCACGATGTGGTTGGCCACCTGCAGGTTGAGGCCCTCGCCACCGGCCTTCAGCGAGATGAGAATGACGCGCACCGTGGGGTCGTGCAGAAACGCCTGCAGCACGGACTGCCGCTGTGTCAGCGTGAGCGATCCGCACAGCTTCACCGCCTTCACGAAGCGACGCTGCAGCCAGTACTGCGTTAGGTCAAGCATGGAGCCGAACTGCGAGAAGATAATTACCTTCTCGTCCTTTGGGACGCTGTCGACGTAGTCTGCGATGGCGTCGAGCTTCGTGCCGTGTAAGGGCTTCTGCGGGTCCAGTCGAGCCAGGATGCTTTGCTGGTCCTTCTTTGTGGGCTCCTGCGACTTCTTCTTCTTTTCCTGCGACTGCGCCATGAAGTGCGACGCAAGCGTCTGCTCGTCGCCATCACCTTCCGCTTCCCCCGCAGTCTGCTGCCTCTTCATTGCGCCGCGCGACGCTGTCGGTGCTGAGCTGCGGCGACGGCTGCTGCCCTTCTTCGACGCCGTCGTTGGCGCCTCGTCGGCCTCCTCATTGCCGTCCTCATCGTTGTCTGAGTCGCCGTTGGCCTCCTGCTCCAGCTCCGGGGGCAGCGCGGCCGTGATCAGCCCACCACCGTCTCCACCGCCCTCCACCGCATCCTCGTCCTCCTCCAAATCCTGTCGCAGCTGCCGCAGATCGACGTTGATGCGAACAAAGCAGGTGGGGCAGTGGAACTCCTTGTCGGGCGCGCTTTCGAGAAACTGACCGAGGCACAGGCGGTGGAACTGGTGGCGGCAAGGGTGCACCTTCAACGCGCTCTCGCCGTCGAGGGCGTCGCCGCAGATGCCGCAAAGGCCCTTCACATTTACCACCGGCCCCACCTCCATGCCCCGCATCACCAGCAGCGGATTATCCAGCGCCTGCCGCAGCCGGCTCAGCAGTTGGAAGATGTGCGCGTAGTTGTGCAGTACCGTGCCCTTGTGCACAAAGGTGTCGAACTCCGCCGTGCTCTTCTTGTACAAGGACTCGTAGAAGTTGCGCTCCTCCTTGGTGAGTTCGATATGGCGCACCTCGATCGTCAAGGGAGGGAGCTGCAGGTCGGCCGCGCGCTCCAGCTTCGTGCGCCGCAGCATCGCCTTCGCGAACACGTCGTTCGAGAGCATCATCATCCCCCGTCGGCCATCACCGATGTAGCCGTAGCGGTTAATGGGGTTTAGAATGAAGCGGTTGAAGTAGGAGCTGTGCTGCAGCGGGCCGTGGCCGCAGAAGACACACTGCCGCAGCGAGGTGGACGAGAAGGGGTGCGACAACGAGGTACAGGAGCAGCCCTCGGTCCCGCAGTAGTAATGCGCGTAGGGCCGCATGCGCAGAAAGCGCAGGAGACTGTAGAGGTCGCCGACACGGTTCTGTAACGGGGTGCCGGTCAGACACCAGCGATACTCGGCCGACAGCGCGAAGGCGGAGCGGGCGGTGCTGGTTGTGCGACCTTTAATGCGGTGCGCCTCGTCTAGAATCACGCGAGCCCACTTAATGGAATGGAAGATGGACCCCATCAGGTCAACGTCGTCGCCGCCGGTGTCCTTCTCGATCACGTCCCGCAGCCCCTCTGGCACAATGTGGTGCTGACCCGTCTTGGGGCAGAATGGGTAGCGTAGAAACTGAAATTGGCAGGCAGAACAGCGAAATGCCGCGAGCGCCTCAGAGGCACGTTCAGCCGCCGCCTTCTCCTCTGCCTCCGCCGCCGCAGAGTCGTAGGAGGTGTCGGAGGACGCGTCGCTGCTGTCGTCGTCAGAGTCCTCCTCCTCCTCCTCGCTGCTACTGCTGCTGCTCTCCCCGTCACGTCGCAAAGGGTCCCAGCGACTTCGCACGGTGCGGCCCGCCTCGCGCATCAGCTCCTGATACATCCCTATTGGGCCAACGACACCGCGAGAGGCCGCGGCTGGTTGGATGACCTTCTTGTCGCTGCCTTCTGCGCCTTCCGCGTCTGGATCCGCCCCCTCCTTTTTGATGACTGTCGACGCAGTGAGAGGTGCAGTGCCGCCACTCGAACCGTCACGTTTCTCTCTCTTGACGGCCAGCGCGGCGCTGCTTTCGGCATCTTCGTCGAAGCGGTTGTGTCGTCGCTGCTGCGGCACGGCATCTTTCTTTCCTGTGCTCGCCTTTTCCGCCGCCGTGTCGTCTTCCTCGAGGTCGACGTGTAGAGTGCGCAGACCTTTGCGAATTGTCTCGGCCGACTGGACGCCACGAGATTTGGTGGCGGCGCTCGCCGCATTTTTCTCGCGCTTCGCCTGCTTTTGAGTCTTCCTCGCCAGCGGGCCGCAAAAATACTTGTTGTGCACCACCAACTGCCGAGGGATGAAAAGCAAACCGCAGTACGGGCAGGGGACTTTAATCTCGTTAATCAGCGCTCGCCACGCATGCTCAATCATGGGGTACGTTGTGAGCACCAAATCTGCGTTCTCCAAGTCCTCCTTCGCCACTTTCGTGGTTCTGTACACGACGACCACGGAGAGCGACCCAGGCACAACGTGCTCCTTGACCTCAGCCTCCCATTGCAGCATCGAGCTCACAGGACAGACAACCAGCGTCGGCCCGTTTACGCGGTGGGTGAGCATCATCCCGATCGTTTGGATCGTCTTCCCCATACCCATTTCATCGGCCAGGATGCCGCCTTTGACCTCCGATTCTAACTCCTGGCGCACCATCCAGCCCATACCTTCCTTCTGGTACGCAAGCAACGGTCGCAACAGCGTGGGCGGCGGAGCCATCTGCTCCATCTTGCCGCGGTGCACGAGGTCGTCCGGATCTAACGGCTGCAGGTGCTCCGGAACCGCAGCGGAGGTGACCTCCTTCTTCACGACATCCTGTTCCTCCGGCTTCAAATGCGCAAATCCTTGCATCTCAGACGGGTAGTCGCACTCCTCAGCAATTCGAGTGCAGCTCAGGTGCTGCCAGGCTGAAATCCAGCCGTTGTCTCCAGCACAATGACGAATTGGAAGACCGACGCGCAACTCACCTTTCTGAACCAGCTGCGAACATTTCCGGCACCGAGCGCGGGCGGTAGGTGCCCTTTGCACAATGTATTTGTATGCATGATCTTTTTTGGTGGCCAAGCGCCACACACCCTTTTCGTTTAGAGTGAGATCAGGATGCTCAGCATAGTTGGACATGCTTGAAAGGAGGAAAAAAGAGAAAGATTAACTTTCTCGCTGACAGACAGAGAAAAATTTCCAGGGGTCAACAGACACGGGTAAAAGAGAAAAGAAAGATATCCAGAATACTGTTGATTGCGCTATGCCAGGGGACAAACTTAGTGCACAACCGTAAGGATGTTTACAAAATGTGGTTGGCGCAAAGAGAGGGTTTCCAACGAACTTCAACAGGTAGCAAGTGTGTTGCGTATGCCGGAAGAACCGCGTCGACGCTAGGTAATAACGACCACGTTACAGCATCGACAGCACAATAACCGCAACAAGTGAGGAGAAAGAGTTGGAGAAAGTCGAACTTATGAAAAGAAGAGAGAAAACACTCACCAGAATAAGAAAGCCCGAAAAGCTTGAGTCACGGTGATGCACAAAAACGTAGACCGCTATTTCCCCTTCTTAATTTGGCACCGTGGGATTGTAATAGTTGCCATTGATCCTCCATTGAAGACGCAACGCCACGATTTCGTTAAAGATGCATTTCTCTCACCCTGTGGAGTTTCGCAGGGTCAGAGCAAAAGACGCGCTCTTCTATAAACATGCGATTGGAAAAAAAAAAACTCACTTTACTTCTGGGTTTTAGGATTTTCGAAGAGTAGCGAGTTGCTTTGACTACTGTATTTCGTCCGACCCAGAGGAAGGCCAGGTTTCCGCCGATTCGAAAAAAACGACAAATATCGCCGTCACATGACGCGCTGCAAATACTCCATCGCAACGAAGACACCTGATCGTCGATTATTTCTTTCAATTTGTCTTACATAAGAACGAAACAGTAGCGCAAATTCCCTACTACATTTCTTTCACACATCCTTATTACAAGTAAGAAATCATTTAAGAAAGAAACTTGTTATAAACTTACAGCTCTGGCTAAAGCCAATGTACCCTTACTTCTCAGCGGTGTCTGACGAGGACCACGATTTCTCCCACCAGGCCGGTGGTGATAACGCGTCCAAGACGTACCCGATGGCTGCTGGCGCTCTGAAGAAGGGTGGCTACATCTGCATCAACCAGCGCCCGTGCAAGGTCATCGACCTGTCCGTGTCGAAGACCGGCAAGCACGGCCACGCTAAGGTGAGCATTGTCGCCACTGACATTTTCACTGGCAACCGTCTCGAGGACCAGGCCCCGTCCACCCACAATGTGGAGGTGCCGTTCGTGAAGACCTTCACGTACAGCGTGCTGGACATCCAGCCCAACGAGGACCCCGCGCTCCCGTCTCACCTGTCCTTGATGGACGACGAGGGTAACAGCCGCGAGGATCTTGACATGCCTCCGGATCAGGCACTCGCTGCGATGATCAAGGAGCAGTTCGACGCCGGCAAGGAGGTGATGGTCGTGGTTGTGTCTGCCATGGGCATCGAGCAGGTGCTGCAGACCAAGAACGTTTTTGAAGTGAATTCGATGAACTAAAATAATGAAGGGAAGTTATTATTGAATATGTTGAAGAGACAAAGTCATTCATTTTTTTTTGACGAGAAAACGGAAAGTGATGTGTGGAGCAATATTTGCGGCAAGTAAAAAACGATAGTAGGGTACGAGTGTAACAACAATGGAAGAAACAGAGGGGACGCATATGAACCTTACACCTATGTTTCTCGTGTCGGTGGCCACGTTTTCATTCTCTTTTGAGAAAGTCCTTGATTGCTATAATTACGTTATTATATTGTTCGCCACCAGAAACCAGAAAAAAGCAACAACAAACTGAAATAAAAGTGTTTCAGTTCATTATTGAGTAAGGCGCATATCCATCCAGTTTCTTCTCCGTACATAAAACAGGAAAGTGCAGTCCCCGCCGCTTTCACCTATAATTTTCTCTTATCTTATCAACATAAAATCATTTTCTTTCCTTGCAAAGAAATTTGAGGACGCATCAGCGACATCATTTCATCACAGCATAATGCGGGAAAAAACAGCAAATAAGGTAAAGAAATGCTTCATTTCTCGGCAGTGTCTGACGAGGACCACGATTTCTCCCACCAGGCCGGTGGTGATAACGCGTCCAAGACGTACCCGATGGCTGCTGGCGCTCTGAAGAAGGGTGGCTACATCTGCATCAACCAGCGCCCGTGCAAGGTCATCGACCTGTCCGTGTCGAAGACCGGCAAGCACGGCCACGCTAAGGTGAGCATTGTCGCCACTGACATTTTCACTGGCAACCGTCTCGAGGACCAGGCCCCGTCCACCCACAATGTGGAGGTGCCGTTCGTGAAGACCTTCACGTACAGCGTGCTGGACATCCAGCCCAACGAGGACCCCGCGCTCCCGTCTCACCTGTCCTTGATGGACGACGAGGGTAACAGCCGCGAGGATCTTGACATGCCTCCGGATCAGGCACTCGCTGCGATGATCAAGGAGCAGTTCGACGCCGGCAAGGAGGTGATGGTCGTGGTTGTGTCTGCCATGGGCATCGAGCAGGTGCTGCAGACCAAGAACGTCCTGGTCGGGGAGATTGGAAATGAGGCTGTATTGTAGTTCGCGTTGTTAGTTGAAGAAGGATCAATAAAGGAGTTAAGAAAAGAGGAGACATAGCACATTAACAGTTAAATTTTCTAGGAGAACCGTTGCCTTATGGTCGTTGTAATGTGCTACACGTCGGTAATTAGAATAATTCCTGACGGAAAGAAGAAGAGCAGACACGACGAACCTCGTCCCGTACGCTCGGTGACAAAGTGCGAAATCAGTGATTTCTCGTGTGCTTTAACCAGTTATGATTGTGCAAACTGCGTAAGCTACAATTAAAAAAAAAACAAGCCTTAAATCTTCGGAATGGCATGAGTAAAACGTTTGATGAAACAGGAAAAAACTACAAAACAAGGAAATGTAGAAAAGCGCTGTTGTCTTTTCTAACATCGAAGTAACTCAGATAATAGCAGATAAGCTACAACAGCAAAAAAAGGTATGCTTGAAATTGGGAAGAGCACCAACAACAAGAGAAACAATATCGACCTTCACAGATTCACGCAGACAAACAAAAAATGAGAACCAAAAAAAAAGTGGCGGCGTCGTTTGTTACGCCTTGGAACCAGCGCGTTGATGACAACATCAACTCAAAAAGACATCTACACACAAGAAGACAGATTTCTCCGTGTACAAAGAAGCGTTTGAGCAGTGATATACCACTTTAGAAACGAAAACACATTAAAGGGTTTTCGGAAAAACTCGTCAAGAACACACAAAACACTCACAGTTGTGCAAATGACGTGAAGCAAAAGTTGAGTCGCACTATTTTCGCAAATCGAGAGAAACCGTTTTAACCCCTGTAAAAGTCTTTGTGTCTCAACGTGTATTGCTCAGAAACACGAGTAGTGAAATAGGATCGGATGTCTCACACTCCATTTCTTTTTAAAGTTGTTCTTATGGTGTGATGTATGACAATACATGGGAGGTTGATCACATGGACAGAAAGAGTTAATTCAAAGAACTGAGTAATAGTAATAATGCCAAGTATTGACATGCCGCAAAGTTACCCACTTCCCCGTGAAACATTTTTGGCATTCAACTGCCCGTAAGAGGACCTAGAGTGTTGTGAGGAAGTGCTCAGAACGTTTCATTGTAGCTAATAAGTTTGACAATATATTATGTCAGAAGTAACTAAAGAAACAACAAGACGCTTCATAACCGTTGTGACAATGCAAGGCTAAACCTCTGTGTTAATCAAACACGCAGCAGCGCAACTATCTTCTACGGCTGTTGGGAAAGAGTGCTGTTCGTTCTGAGCGCATGTGGGGAAGGTGAAAACACTTCTTTCTTCAACAGATTTCTTCTCAAAACCCAAGGAAGTTGTCGAACAAAAGTAGACAATCGAGCAGGGAGACAAAACCACTTTAACTCTACTGGATGCCGGTGTGCTGAGACGGGGCATAAGTTGAATCTGTCGGACGAAGAAAGCAAAGAGAGGAAAGACGGTTGCAGAGGGAGTGGCGCGAAAGAAAGGGAAGGGGGGGGGAAGGTGAAGAGAACCAAGTTCAGAAAAGCCCCGATCCGTTCGCGCGGCCCACGAGTCTGCCACAATTTGGAATCTTGCAAAGGGCTGTATGCGGTGAGAACCCTTCGCTTTCGTACACAGGGATCATGCTGTCTCGGCAAGCATGCCGAAATCAAGAAGGTGCCGAAAAGCACGATACAAAACTTTTTTTTCTGTGACGCCGTCTTGTGCAACAATTTCTTTTAACAAAAATCGTGTTAACTGGATTTATGATTGCGAAGCGTCGCTAAAGATGAAGGAAACGAGGAAAAGCTTGAAATGAACCTCGTCTCAATGTATGACTTTTATGGCTTGCAGAACAGCTGCTGAGTTCCCTGAACTAACTGCCCTCTACGAAAAGTCATGGAGCGTGCATGTGCTGTTAAAAACTGCTTACCGTATCCCATCTTCATCTGTCTGTTGTTTCCCTCTTTTTTCTCTGTACAGTTGAAAGGCGCAAGTCGTTTTTTCCGTTACTTCGCAACATGGAGTATCGGGGTGAGTTTCTGTCGCCGGGTTCCCGATCTCCAGTTATCCCACAATCAAAATTTGATACTGCTGGGCATGACGTTGCGCATCACGACGAGTCACTATCAAAAGAGCAAGTTGATGAGATCGAGCGGCTATTAGATCGCATTGGAGCAAGCGACGCAGATGACACTGACTTGCCCGAGGAGACGCATGAAGATCCAAACATCCCAGCTTCCACTGTCCCCACGAACAAAAAGCACAGCAGGAACACTACGGCACTTCGACAGAGTCAGAAAAATGCGCCCAATTTAGAAAGAGAGCTTCTTTGGAAAGCCCACATCAAGGATGTGCAAACGTACTTAGAGGCGAAGAAAAGGACTACCACACGCGCAATACTGCAAGAAAGGAAACACAAGAAGGAGGTGCATCAATCTCAACCTTGGCAGCGCATACACCGTAGTTGCACAGCGCCAGCACTATTGGCGGACATGGATGCTTCACTGTCAAACTTCTTCATACATCCAACGGATCTCAGAGACTTCATAGAATTCCGGAGCTCTTAGTTTTTTTTTTTCGTATGTTGTATATTTCTGTGGCGCTTGAAGTGTCTTCAAAAGTGTGAATCGAAACGGTTAATCGGGTGGTGACGCGTCCCTGTTTTGTGGCATCTTTAGCTTTTAGAAATTTAACTCTGTTTACCCTTAAAGAATCAGTATCGCTCATTAAAAGACCGTTGTTATCCGAAAGGTCTTTACGTGCACTGCAAGCGGACAATGTTATTGCTTCTTATGCTTGTACAACGTTCGAACATTTCTGTTTTCTTTCTTTTTTTTTCTCCATGTCCCTTTCACACCTCGTCATCTGAGTGATTTCTTCTTGAAGCCTTTAGAAATTGAAATAAACCTGTTTTTTAGCGGAGCGGAAACACACGTCATATCTTCTCCGAGTACTCTAGAGATTGCAAACACAAACTGCGAAAAATTGCCTTACGATTTATTTTCTGTGATTGAAAGCAAAGATGGTTTCCGAGGAAGGTGTGCATGAGCCCGTCGAGGAACACGTGGAAAATGCTCCGGCGGATGAAACTGCTCACAACGCGGATGAGCAAATAGATAACACAGAGGCAGAACTTCAGGGTGATGCTCAACCCGAACTTGCTGAGGAGCAGAACGCAAACGCTGTTGGTGAAAACGCTGCCGAAGAGAATGACGGCGTGGTGAAGGAGCAGCTCGGCGGCGGCGACCTGTCTGATCCTCGTGTCTTTAAGATGGCCGCCCGTGAGGTGGACGAGTGCTACATGTCTGTGATTCGCGGTCTTAGCGCTTTCTGCCAGGACGATGAGGAGGTTTTCGGAAACGCGGTGGATATCTGCAACGATATCATCACAATGGAGCAGAACTTGTTCTCCGACATTCCTTCGTACATTGCGGATTACATCGCCACATATCGTGCGAAGACGGATAAGTACAACAACTCAGTGCAGCCGAGGGAAACCATTCCGACTCCTGAAGGCCCTCCGCGTGACTGGGAAGAGCGGCGCGCTTATGTGGACCCTGGTGTTCCGCTCATGCTGCCATATGACGCCGAGCGTTTTAAGAAGGAGCATCCGGAGCGCGCGACGTCTGAGGGTACGTACCACGACCTGTTTTACGGCGACGGCTCGAAGGTTGTGTTTGAGGCCCCGGAGGACAACAAACGCAAGAAAATTGAGGAAGAACATCAGAAGGCTTATCATCCACCCAGACAGGCGCCGCTCTCCTTTGAGCCACAAAAGAAGAAACCCATGCGTGTTTCTGCAGATTTTGTTCCCTCCTGCGCCGAAGTGAAGGACCCGCAACCTGCGAAACGCACGAAGCCGGTAGCGAAGGCTCAGCCAAAGAACGTGCAGAAGAAGAGCGTCAGCACGCAGTAGCGTTTCTGTTTATACACACATTTTTTGATTTTTATACCGTCGTCGATTTCTTTCATATATTATTATTGACGTTCTAAAAATTGAATTTTCACTGTACCGGCGGTCGTCGATATCTGTTCTATAACCTATGCATTGTTCTTTTTTTCTCCGTTTTCTTCGCGTTTTTGTGTAGTATTCAAAATTACGTTAAAGTAATTACTCCAATTACTCAGACAAGACTTCAGATCGCCTGATAACTTCGGAAAAGCGAAATTGCACTGCTTCGCTGTTTCTCAGTCTGATGAACGCGCAACAAATGATTCCTATTTTGTTAGCATTAAAAAAAAAAAGAAATTCTCTCGAAGGTTTTTTTTTTGGAAATAAGCGCAATCACTGTTTCTCCCCAATCTGTAATCCGTACTTTCCGTTCCTTTTTTCTTTCCCTCACGCTCACTCTTCCAATACAGGTTAATTTTGTTTCGCCTGAAGACACACCTTTCACAAAGAAAAGATTATTTTGTCGCCTCATGACGGTGCGCATCGTGTCCTCGCTCTCTGAGCTTCAAGTGCTCTTGAGCCAGCCAAAGCTCACCGTGGTGGATTTTTTTGCCACCTGGTGTGGGCCGTGCAAAGCCATCTCTCCACTTATGGAGAATTTAGCAGCCTCTAAGCCACACGTCAATTTCGCAAAAGTCGATGTCGACCACACTCCCGATATCATGAGCGCGTATCCGGTTCGCGCAATGCCTACTTTCTTCTTTTTCAAAGGTGGAAACGTTGTTGAAAAATTTGAAGGGGCCGACATTAATTCGGTATCTCGCCTGGTACAAGAGCACGAAGTTGTGCCGCCACCACCGATCCCGTCCGATGAGGTTCTGGAAACTATGAAGCCCCGCGATCTCCTCTCTCTCATGAGGCAAAACCATATTCCAACAATTGGTCTGGTTGAGAAAAGCGAACTCATCAACGAGATCAAGAAGTACCGCAAATGAGAAATGTACTGGATGTCTTCTTCTGCGAGTCTGCTGGTTGTTTCTTACTCAATTATTATTATTATTATTCCTTTTCTGACATGAGAGCACATATGGCCAACTAAGAATGGTTTTCTATTTCCTACCATGGCGCTTGTGTTATTTCGTTTTCAGAACTTTCAAGGTTGCTTCACTGGCAAGCGTACAACCGTTAAAGAAAAAGAGAATACATTGATTATTGGCGTGATCATTGATAATGAGTAGAAGGAACTGCTACGCTACAACTTTGCGACTCTCGACACCAGCGCGGGAATCTGATACCGGTGACCGCGGACTAGAATTCTTGTTCCCCAAGCGGACTCTCACCCAACTCTCTAGTGAGCTACTTCTTCTTTCCGTAACTCGCCGACTTTTGTCTCGTTCATGACCTTTTTTTTCCCGGATGAGCTTTTCCTCCCTCTTTTTGTGTTTTTGCCAAGAATTCGTTTCTTTTTATTAGCGCTCAGAGGCGTTGAGAACTCTCAGTTTTTTTTTCTTGTGGAGTGAATTGCGTGTGTGTCAGTCACACAGTCATGTACGGCTCAAGCGAAAACCAAGAGCTGCGCGCTCTTTATCAATTCGGGCAGCCAGATTCGACAACCACGCGCCATGCTACGGATCAAGAACCCACTTCTGTTGCAAATGACCGCGCCGGTGGTAGTAACAATTACAATACCGAGGCAGATAGCTTTTCGCCTCGCGAGGAGAACATCCACGGGATGCCGACATCTCCTGGTGCATTTGGGAATGCAAATGACACCTACGTTCCTACCGGGAACGGGAACGTTGGCTCCCACGCCACTGTGTCTTTCGATGCCGCTGGAGAGAAGCAGCACCATAAGGACGGCTCGAAGAAAAATGTCATCAAGAAAATGCTCGGAACAGACAAGAAGAGCACCAAAGGGATGACGGACGAGGAAAAGAAGGCTTATCAGATACAGGAGCGTTGGAAAAACGCCGTACTCGAGGAACAGCGCCTCAACGAACTCGAAGGTCGTGTAGCTCAAGAAGAGACAATGACAGGCATTATCGGCCAAGCTCCGAATTTTCCACCCAAGATTCTGTGCATTCGGCCGCTCGTGTACCACAAGATCTCCGACGTTTCCCCAGAACGTCGCCGATTTGTGACGATGGCCTTCTGGGACTGGGTCGCGGTGTGCATTGTCCTCGTCGCAAACTGTCCCATCACCATCGCCTGTAACTATGTCCCGTACAAGTCGTCAATTGACAAGTCGCGCACGCGAGACATCAACAAAGGGCTGAATATCGTGCTGGCATGCATTTATTTGGTGGGAATTCCGCTCAGCTTCCTGATCTGGTATTGGCCCATTTATCAGAGCAATTACAAGCTGCGCCCAACGCAACATGTCTTAGCGTTGAGCGGCCTCATCGTAGCTCTTGCACAGACAATTTTTGCCTTTGTGGGCCCATATAGCTATGGATTTTGCGGCATTCTCTCGTCGAAGTGGGTTGGTGAGACGCGCGAAAAGGGTGTTGTGGCACCGATGGCTATCGTGACAGCGCTGTGGGGTGTGCAGGCCGTCTTCACCTGCTACATGATCTGCCAAGTTTTTATTTACTACCGCCGCGATTTGGCTGCCAGGCGGGCGCAGCGCCGCCAGCAATTGGCCACAGGCCAGTAGAAAAGTGTTATATGGAGAGCGGTATGGAGACGAAAGACCTCTCGACTTCTACGGTGATTAAATGTCAAGTGATTTTGTGAATTCAGGTTTTACCGATTCTCTGTGCATTCTGATGCGCGCGTGCTGAAGTGTTGCTTTTCTTTCTTCATCGAACATACAAATTTCTTTTGATTTTCGTTATTTGTATCGTGTCTTTTGTGTGACTTAATGGCAGTTACCTGAGAATCTTTTTTTCTAGAGTTTTGTCGTTTCTCTCTGTGATGTTGCCAACACTATAGTCAATGTCTAGCAAGAAGTTGAACTTCACAAACTGACGCGCCGCATACGTGACAACTGTTGAACTCCACATGACATTCGTACTGACTAGTGAAGGCAACATACTTTTTTTGAGACTTTCTTTTCCAGGCTGTTTTGGCAACCTCGCTTCCTTGCAGGGGTGATGCTTTCCCTTCCTGTATCATTGTTGTGTCCTGAGGCCCAAGGTTTTGTCGATTCAGCGTTGAACACGAATGAACATCTCGTGTTGAAACGGTCTCTATTACTCTCCTCCTCGTTCTATATAGGTGTCTACGTGTTCCTCTCGCCCATCTCTGGGTGCTTCTTTTCTTTCCAATTACCGTTTTCTTGTTGCTGTTGAGATTTAATACGTAAAGGCCAAAGAAGCAAAAACCAGTATTTTAAGGTACGACCCAGCGAGACTGTTTTCTTGAAAACATTCACCTTGTTCTACTGGTGCGCTTCGCATCTTCTCGAGCAACACCTGGTCAAGCTCACCACAGTGCTTTTGCGGCTGCGCTTGTCAACGCTCTCGACATGAGTAGATTTCGGCGTACCCAACTGTTGATCATGTGGTGGCCCTCTTTCCAGCCCGAACTCTCTCGCTGTCTTTTTACCCACCTCATCCTATTTTGCCCCCCTTTTCTTCCCTGTTGTCTCACTGGACGGATGTATTGATTTGCCTAGTGGGCATTTTTCTTTTCTCTCTCAACACAATATATTCTATCCTGCATCCTGCTGTGTCGCTCTCGTATTCATTCTTTCGGACATTTCAATTAGCGGTTAGCGGTTAGTGGTCTCTGGACTGGTCATTATAGCCGCTGCTATTATTATTATTATCATGCTTTGCTTTTTTTGGTTTTGCTCCCCTGTTTTCCCTGCTTGGCAAACCAAACGCAAGACGGCAGACGTGTCGAACAAAAGCTGAGCGTTTCTATTCCCCCCTTTTTTCTTTGGGTTTTTTTTTTTCGCGCCGTTATTGCACTGTGATGCGCACCTATTTGATCTTCCTGTACTTGTATAGCAACTCTCCCACACACAACCACGCACGATCGTTGTGCTTCTTTTACCCCACTTAGAACCTGTCCCTGTGCGTTGCCATGCGTAATTTTTCGCAAGACGCAGGGTCTGAGGAATCGTCGCCAACCGCCCTGCGCGCCGAGGAGTGTCGTCCTGGGAAGAAGAAGCGCAGTTTGGCACGCGTGCATGTGGGGCCCGGTACGGCAACGTTAGGCGGAGATAAAAAAGATGAGGAGGAGCTGTTCAACTCGACTGTTGTGGTGACGAGCTGCCTATCACCACCGGATGCGAACGAGCTGCACACACCAACTAATATTCAGTTGCACGAAGAAGTGTTCGTACACCACCCTTGCTTCGCTGGCAACTCGCCCCTGTCGTTGACGGCGGAAGGACACACGCCGACTCAGCAGCGGAACGGGTCTTTCCTTTTTCATAGCTTAAGCAGAGAGGACCACCACGGCCCCATCCAACATGAGCAGGACCACGATTGCTGCCCCTTCATGGCGGTTCGACGATCTGAGTGGACCCTGCGCATTATCTCGAAGGTTCGCCATACTTCGCCATTTGACTGGCCGTATTTGCTCTCTAGCTTCAGCATAAAGAACGCTTTTATGTTCTATCCGCCACCGCCGACGTACGGTTTTTTTCGTGACGAGGACGGTGCAGTTCAAGTGCGCAGCCAGACCGGCAAGCGTGCACCTCGCCTCGACCACGAGCGCATCGAGTACCTGCGTCGCAAGTGTCGTATGTCGGACAAGGTGCCGGATGACCTGGTCGCCGGCGCCCTGCACGGCATCGCGATTGCGAGCCAGCAGGACAACGCCGACGGCGGCGGCAGTGGCGACGCGGACTCTGACTCTGAGTCGAGCTTCAAGCTTATTTTCATTCCGTGGGAGAATGATGTGCAGTCCTACTACATCCACAGCGGCTCCGTCGTATTTGGCCGTCGTGTGCACATGGGACATCGACTCTTCACGTTGGCCTGGCCGAGCCCTATTCCGTGTAGCATTATCCGCCCTCGCCGCCGCATGTCGAGTCACGTGGCCATTTTCTTCCACTGCAACGGCGAGGACATTGGACGGCCGTCGTGCCTGCGCTTGTTGACACTGGCGAACGCACTGCACATGACGATCTTGGTTCCGGAGTACCCCGGCTACGGCCTCTTCGAGGGCCAACCGTCCGAGGCGGCCATCAACGGCTCCATGGAACGTGTCATCGAATTTCTCTTCTCCAGCGATCCATGCTTAACCCCGTCGCGACTTATCCTCGTGGGCCACTCCATTGGAACAGGTGTGGCCATTCACGCTGCGAAGTTTATCAAAAAGGTTTTTCTCAAGCTGCACGACTCTCCCGACCTAAGCCACCGAATCCCTTATGCGTGTCCCATGTCTCGCGGCCAGCAAAACTCAGCCGGGTACGCCGCAGCAGTGCGGTGTCCGCAAAACGCCCTTCCCGTTCCGTCAAGTGCCGTGCCGGTGACCTCGCCGACCGCCCCGATTCCCACTTCTACGCCGCACGGCGCCAGCCCACGACCGCCCTTCTCGCCGCCGAATGTGCCGCTTCCCTCGAATCGTGTCCCCCCCGACAGCAGTGATAGCGGCAAGCACGCCGCGGCGCCGCAGCAGGCAGACACCGCGGACACAGGGGCCGACCGACGCAGGGCACGCACGTCGTTGCACGCACCGTACGGCGAGTTGGACGACGCCCGCCGACGCAGCGGACCGAAAGCGACGCCGCCGTTTCTTTGCCCACACTACGCCCTCGGCGGCGTCATCCTTCTTGCCCCATTTGCGTCGCTGCGCTGCGTGGAGAAATGGACGACGCTGCGCAGTCACGGCTTCGATGTGCAGGAGCTGGAGCGGCGTCGCCTCTCCGTGCCAGAGGACGTTCTCGTACCAGCGCCGGAGGAGTGGGCCGAAGACGCCCATGCGTTGCGTGACACCGGGGCTGACCCGCCCAACATGGACTTTTTGCGGCCGTCGCCGCTTCTCTTCGACGTGGCCCGCTACATTTCGTTCAACCGATTCCCCACCATCGACGTCGTGCGAGAGCTGCAGGACGAGGTGAGCTTCTTCACCCATACCCCGCTGCTGTTGTTGCACGGCGCACAGGATGTGCTGATTCCGGCCATCAACTCCGTCGCCATCGCGACGAAGTTGCGGCAGGCCACGGACGGCCGGGCCGCCAAGGTGTACATGGGACTCCTGCACAACGAGGGCCACAACAACCTGCACTGCTCCCACATCATCCGCCGCTTCTACAAGGATGTGATTCTGCTACCGCATTTGCGCGCCCAGCGGCAGCTGCGCGAGGAGTTGGAGGAGACGCTGGGGGATGGCCTCGGGCGGGGCAGTGCCAACAGCAACGTCGACAAGCCTGCTGCGGTGGGGCCGATCGATTCCGCCTCTTCATCGAATAAGTCTTCTCCGCCTCCACCACCACGCTCTCCTCCTTCGGCGAGCTCGACCACCGTGGACGCTGATGGTGAAGGCAGCTGTGGGGAGCCGCACGCGTTTGAGGCACCGCTGCTTCACTTCCCCATCGTAGGCACCAACCGCAACACGGAGCCTTTTGACGAGGAGCGGCCGGTGCGGTCCGCCTCGAAGTCCACCACGCAGCAACCTGGCACCGGTGCGACGGCAACTGCGGATGCTGCAGCGTCAGCGGCAGTCCCGCCGGCGCCAGCTGCCCGACCGCCAAATGAGCCGTATCTGTATTTCATCGAGCCCGCCTTCACCGCAGAGGGCGGGACGTGGCTGGCGAATGGCATCTTCGCCGGCCCGGTCCGCATTCGACTCCTGCACCCGCCTCAGCAGCGCAACTCCACGACGACGGAGGTGGGGGTCGTGCCAGAAGAGGGAGAGGCGCATCCGCACGCGTCTCCTGCTGCGAGCATCCTCATGATGCAGGCCGCCGATCCACGGCGGGCGCACTCGCGTCATCATCAACACGACCACCTCCACCAACACCAATACCGCGACCTGTACGATCCCGCGGTGGAGGCGCAGCCGTCGTCTCCGCGTACGCAGCGGACAAGACACTCAAGCCGCCTTCTGTCCTGTGGCATGCAGGCCTACCACGCCAGCGAGGAGTTTGAGGAGTCGTTGCGCGACACCCTCCTCCGCACGCAGCCGCCCAGCGTAAACTTTGCCCCTGCGGCAACGATGCTGCACATTGCGCTCTTTCACCACCTCGAACACTACGACGTCGGCAGCATCGCGGTGGCCTCGGTCACGAAGCACTCCGTGGACGCGACGGTGGCGCTGGCGCAGTGGCGGAGCTACCGCCGCAACCACTTTATCTTCCGCTGCTGCACCGCGCTATACTATTTCGCGACCGGGTCCTTCTTCATCAGCCTCGCCATTTGCCACGGTGTGCTGACGCGCCCGTCGAAGCTTCGCCCGTACGTGCCAGCCGAGGCCCCGACGAAGCCGTACCACCTGGATGCTCGGGTGGTTATTTGGGGGGTGCTGGACGGTTTTGCCTACCTCCTTCTCGGCGTCGTGCGCTTCTTCAACACGCGGCTGGGGTTGGGCAATTTGAGCAAATACATGGACACGCCGTCGAGTATGCTGGCGGCGTACGCGACGTGCCGGATCATGGCGTACATCTTATGCGGCGCGGTGGGTATTTTGATGGCCATGATCATTGCCCTCACCCCGCCAGACCGCGGTGGCGTGGACTGGGATCGCTGGTCCGACTTGCCGTACGGCAGACGTGTGTGGATTGCGGACCTCCCGCGCTGGACCATGGTGACATCCGCGTCTGTTCACATTATCTTCACGATTGCCATCTTCGCAAAGAATCATTGATGCCGGTGCGGAGCATGTTATGCGGAATACAGATAATCGACTGCCTCGTTTTTGCCTCTGTGTGTGCGTCGTGTCTCATTTCCTTCTCCTCTTCTCACTCCGACGGTAATGCAGCAGCGTCGCTTTTTTGCCTTTCTTTTCCTTTGCCCCCCCCCCCTCCCTTTCCCCCTCCCTCGCTGTGTTGACTGGACGTCTGATTCCCCTACATTACGTCTCAATTTGTATATATATAAAGGAAGGAGTCGCAGTGAAGCAAACGGAAAGAGGAATCATGCACCGTAATACCAAGTAGTATTATGAAGGTAGTTTTTTTTTCTTTCCTGGGTGTTAATAAACAAACAAAAAAACTGCCTTTAGGAAGTAGATGCGGATGCTGTGTGTGCGTGTACGATTTTTGGGCGCGTGAGATAATGCACCTAAACGCTCACTTGAGTGCTATCAAACCCCTTCTTCCGTCTAACAGGCATCGTTGCCTGAACCTTTCACGCATGTTAATCGTAAAAGACTGCTGGGTCGGTTTATAAAATGCTTCTGCTTTATGTTAGTACTATCCTCCTTCAGGGAACGAAACTTCCAAATGCTTTAACAACGGAAGTTATCGTACGACAGTTTGAAAAGAATATTCAGCGTGGCGTAGAAAAATGTCAGACGCTGGCCAACGACGCCAACTTAAATGCGTGCGAATCCTAAACATAATAAGAATCGTAATAGCCATGGGCAGTACAGAGGAGGAAGGCCTTTTTTTTCTTGCTGTTGCGTTTCATCTGTTCCAATTCATATTTGTGGAATACAACCAAAACTTTCCGCTCTTTTCCTATAAAATTTGTACCTGTCGTTCGTCAAAAGACTCAGTTCGCTCTCTCCTTCTATTTGGATCTTTCACACGTAGTCGGGCGTTCGGTGCAGACCGACAGCGGTGGAGGCACTCGGCTTCCGCGTACTTCGCTGTCTCAGCGCGTTGCACATCTTCTTCTTACTACCAGCGTAGAGTGGTGAGCAGGCGAGGAAGAGGTAAAAAAAAACCCGGTGTTTTCTTTCTGCTCCTGCTATTTTTCTTTCTTGATTTCGCGTGTTGCAGTCCTGCTTTTCTCTTCTGTTTTTATTGTTTCCTGTACACTCCTTGCGTGCCACGCTTTCCGCAACTTGAATCGTTACTGTCAGGAACACACTCCCCACCGCTATTCGAGATCAACAAACGAAAACAAACAAACAACTACAGCAACCCAAAACGGCATTGCTCGCCGGGCGAGAGCCACCGATGCGGAAGTGCGTACGGGGCTGAACGCGCCAACACGTAGTTTATCTTTCATCGTTGGGGAGCGGCGCCCTTCCCTTGATCGCCTTGCCAGTGTAAAGGGCATTGCCGTATAGTTCGTTTCTCTACCTCTCCCCCTTTTCTCTTAAGGCACGCCGTAGTAAAGGCAGAGGGACGTTCAGGGGTGGTTCTTCTGTGACCCCCGATTCTTTTTTTTTCTTAGCCATCGTCTCTCTCTCTCTTGTTCTCTTGCTCTCTTTGTCTCCACCGTTGGGACGGCGCTGCTGCTGCTGCTTCGCAACACGCCTTACGCTTTTGCCTGGACAAGTCTCCATAGCCCCCTCTCCCCCCTCTTTCTTGGTGGAGGGTCTCATCGTAGCGATGAAAAGACGAGCGCAGATTTGTTGTCAACTCCTCGCGAAACCTCCCCACAACAGAAGTGTGTCATTGCAGCTCTGGAGCTCGAGACATAGCCAAATAAGAAAACAATAATAACCGTAAAGAATAAAAGAGTTCTTCCACCACGATGCACTCACGCAGCGGCAGCCACAGAGGTCGTGCGTCCCGTGCCGGCGGAAATGGCGGCAGCGGCAGCCGCAGCAACAACACGACTGCAGAAAAGACGCCGCAAGGTCCTCCTTCTTCCGGCTCTTCTCTTCCCACCACCACCACCCTCGCACAGCTCGATAAAAAAGATGAAGCTCAGCCGGCAAGTTCATCCTCTGACACAGGAACCTTCGCCATTATCGAAGCCATTCTTAGTAATCTCAGCAACCCACGTTTGGACTCGGTGCAGCGGCTTCTCAAGAACGTTGTGTCTGGCGCGGCGACGGTGGTACGGGGCACCGACTCCCAGCGCCGCTTCACCAGCACCTACACGGAGTTCTGCCGGAGTGCACTACGGTGCATGGCCGACGTGGAGGACGCCGTGTTTGAGCACCTTCACCCGGGCCGGCGTGCGGTGGACGCGGGCGATGACGAAATCAGCGGAATCGCCGAGGACTTCTTCCTCAAGCAGGTCGCCGCGTATGTGTCGACGCACACGAGGTCGCTGGGGCGGGCGTACCTGGAGCATGTTGCGCTGGGGGCGCTGGAGAAGCAGCACAAGCGGGAGCGCACGAACGTCACCGGCGCCCAACGTGCAGCCAAGGCGAGTCGCACGGGGGAAGGGCACAGCAGCGCTGGCGGGGGTCGCAGCAGTAGCGGCAGCGGCGGCGGCAGCCATAGTGGCATTGTGGGCGCCGACGGTGCCGGCGCGACTTCTGCGTTCGACACGCTGGGCCTGATTGACGCGCAAGACACGATGCGGGAGGCACTGCACATCATTGAGCAGGAGAAGAACGCGACAGCAACTGCTGCTGGTGCTGGTGGTGCTACTTCTGCAACTCACGGAAACGCACGGCGGCGTGGGCAGCAAGCCGTCACCGCCTCTATCGGTAAGCATTACCTCGGTGACTGTTCGACCGGCATCTTTGTGTCTAGGGCGACGTCCTCCGTCGGCGGCGGTGCTGGTGTTGGTTCTGCCTCGAACAGCATAGGCAGTAATGCGTTTGCCGGTGAGCAGGTCGTGTACGACTTACGCAACCCACAGCTGAAGCTGTCGAGTATAACGGAGCTGTCGACGCGGTTGCAGCCGTGGACTCTGCCCCTGTCCTTCAGCGGTGTTTTCCTCGAGCGTGTGACAACGGAGCGGGAGCGCAAAGGGGCTGGTGGCGGTCATGCGCTGACCACGCCGAGCCCAGCCGGTGTGAATGCAGGCGTTAGTAGCAGCAGCGGCAGCAGTGCTCCTCCCACCTTCCACGCAGAGCCGACAACGACGATGCTGGACGTGTGCCTCGCTCCAACACCGATGGAGCTGCTGCGCCAGTACGAAGCACACGAGGCCATGTTAGCCGCGGAGCCGCAGCCGTGGCTGCCGACTTCGCCGGGTATGTTGGCCGGGCCGTATAGCGTTGTCCCGTACGCGGGCAAGCGTGGGACTGCCGGTGGCGGCTCCCCACGTCCCACCATCGCATCGCTGCCGCCACCGTCACCCCTGTCTGCGCTTTCGAGCGAAGCCGTCGTCGGCGGTGGTGGCAGTGCACCGCACGACACGGACACCCTGGGCAACACGGCTGCGGTCACCGATGCGGTGGGCGACTCCGAGTTTTTTCCTGCTGTGCGGGCGAATAAGACGCTCACGTGCCTGCCGCAGTTTGTGATGTCCAACTTGTCGCACTTCGGGGTGTCTCGCATGGAGTTCGTGTACACGATGACACCGGCGCCGAAGCAGGCGTGATAGCGTGACGGGGCTGCCCGACGCGACTAGCAACGGTAGCTGACGTTGTCCGCCAGAGTCCGCAACGAGCTTACAGAAAAAAGCGCTGCTTCGTTTCTTCGTCCGCTGCACTCGCGGATTTGAGAAGAACAGAAAGGAGGACCGTGACGTTTGCCGCGTTGTGTGCGGTGCGCTTTTCAGTTGCGCTGCTGATTCCACAATGCACTAACGTAAGCAAAAAAGTAAAGAGAAGATTACAGTGGAGGCAGACGAACCAAAAGGTCGAAGGATGCAAATGAGAAGAACCTTGTACGCACACGTGTATTTCACTCCATGCTGAACGTACGCGCCATGCGTGATGAAGGCTTCTTCTTCAACGGCTGCTCAGGCATCGGCCTGAATATGAAATAAGAACTCTTTCCGTTTCCTTTCTGTTGCTGTCTTACATTTTTACCTGACGCTGTTGGAGCTTCGTTCGAGCGGTGAATGATAAAAGGTTGGCCTTTCTCTTCTTCACTTGCGTTTCCTGACCCAAACCTTCTCTCTCTCCCCGCTGCCTCCTCTTTTGGCGATCTTTTTTTTTTCTTCTTCTGCCAGTGGGGCAACTTCGCTCGCGGGGGTTGAGACAGCGGTGGCGAGCGACAAGGCACAAAGCGGTAAAAGAGAAGAAACTCTCCTCTTTTTCTGCCTTTCCATGATTGTGCCACCGGCAGCCATCATTACCATAAAAGGTTGATGGCGTCTGCTGCGGCTGCCCGCCTGCAAGACTTGTTGCAAAGCTTCATTTCACACAACCTCGATCATGGCACGAAGAAACTGGTGCCCGACAGCGGCGGTGAGGCCGCCTCGTACACCGTGGCCCTTGACGCGGCTGACATGTTGGAAGGCCTGCCCTTCTACGCCGCACATCTTCGGCCACTCCTGCGCTTCGGCAGCACTTCTGTCTTCCCCACGAAAGAGCTGATGGAAGATGCATCCAACAGCACCGAACGTGTAGCCTTTGCGTCTGTCCTGCAGTTTCTTGGCGGCGTGGTGGAGCGACACTTATGCACCTTTGCGCAAGCCGTGTCAGCAGGGCCGTCCTTTGCGCACCTCAGCTCACGCGCCTCAAGCGCCCATACGCCTTCCAGCAGCACAAGCAGTCTTGATAGCACGGAGGAGACGCACAGCCGTGATGATGTATTGCCTGGGCACGCAGCAGCAGCAGCGGCAGCAGCGCTCTCCGGCTTCGACGGAGGCCCTCGGGTGAACTTCGTAGCGTGGGTGGCGCTGGAGGTGTACCGGCACCTCGCCGCAGAGGCGGAAGCTTCCTTGCGTGAGCGAGGACGCGTTGGGTGCGGTGCCGCTGCGTCCGATGCAGCGGTGTGCACAGATGGCTATTTTGAATGGAAGCAGATCCAGCGGGAACGCCTACACGCCGCGTTGGCCTCCACCGCAGCTGCAGCATCTTGCAACGGCAGCAGCAGTACGGCAGACGTGGCAGAAGACATCAACCAAAAGAAGGTGGCAGCAGCACCTGCACTCCTTCCTCTTGACCCCTTCGACGACCCAGACGATTTGTTTACGAGCGATCCGCATTTCTTCTCGTCCTTTATTCGCCAACGTCTGTTGCCGTACGTGAAGCAACACGTGACAAGGGAAGAGGTGAATAGAGAGCGAGCCGACTTGGCAGAGGAGCTGCGCCATTGGGTGCGGTTTCCTGCCTCCATCACCTCATTCCCAGCCACCTGCGATGTCCACCGTGATGCGGAGCTTCCGAAAAAAATGGAGGTGCACGGCGAAAGGAACCACCTAAACAACCCCACGTCTGGGCCGATGGTTAATGTCTGGAAGCGTCTCGTGCAGTTACTTCTCGGCAGCGCCATTGCACCCGTGTTGGCGGGAAACGACGTGTATGCCGCGGACGGACTTGTGCAGCCGCAGACACCGGTGCAGGTGGCCGCCTATGTGGCAGCTGCTGTGATGGTGTCCCTCGCACCTGGTGTTGTGGGATCGATGACGCGGTGGCTGGATCAGATTATCTCGAGCGTCAACGGGGACTGTGCGCCGTCTTCGAGTGTGAAGGTGGGACGGCGCACGCATGAAGGGGATGCGGAATGCGTCGAGGCGATGCACCATGCGCTGGACGTATGCACGCGGTCTGTGCAGGTCGTTCCGTTTCCGCTATGCGACGGCCGTGATGCGGATGTGCGTGCCGACACGCAACTGGCGGGAGGGTGGTTGCTCCCCTCGTTCTCGTCGTCATATGCGACTGCTGGTGGCGGTCCTGCGACGTCGCCGCTGGCCGTGAGACGACAAGACACCCATGGACAAGGGCTGCACCGTCAACGTCGGGCGGTGCTTCTTCCCGGACTGTCCATCGCGGCCACGCGCATCAGCAGTGTTGCGTGCGGGTTACCTTCCTCAGCGCAAAGCACCACCGTTGCTGGGGGAGCTCCTGACGCGGCAGCTCCCGCTGGAACGTGTGTCGTGTCCCCCGCACACGCGCTGGGGCAGTTTCTTGTTAAGGAGGCGCAGCTGGACGCGGCGGCGTTGGCGCCGTGCTGCGACGCTAAATACGCCGCCGTCACAACACCCGTGAGTGCACTGCACGAGTCGTCGTTGTGCTGTGTGGAATGGTTAGCACTTTTTACCGAGTTGCCGGACGATCGGGAGCAGCTAACGGAAATCCGTGCGTCTGTGGATGTCGGCGTTCCTTCTGGGTGGGTGGTGCTGGTGGTCCGAGCCTCCGTCGCCAAGGCAACGCAGTCGTGGGTAGAGTCTACCTGGGGCAGCGCGGATCGGCCGGTGTTGTTGCTGAGTGCGGTGGGGCAGTGGGGACTGCAGCAGCTTTCACTGCGCTTCGACGTGGAGGCCAACACGCCCTTCACAGACCTGCGTGCGTTGCGCGGTGTGCGCCTCCGTGATGGAGCGGCAAAGGGCACCGCGAGTTGCGGGGTCGCCGCATTGCTCTTGCATTCCCACCAATACGCGCCGTCGTTGAACGCGCAGGACACAACGCCGCAGTGTGGGACCCAACGCGCCCCTCGGCGACGGCAGCAGATTCTGTACACCGAGCTACGCGAGCAGCTGCTGTTTGTCGTTGGTGCTGTGGCGTGTGAAGAAGTTGTGAATGCAGTTCCGCCAACAAGAAATGCAGAGGTGCGGACCTCCTCACCACGGCAGCCGCTACCAACCACGTCCATGTTTTTCGCCGACTCCTCCGAATATGAGGAAGAAGAGGAGAACACGACAAGCAGTGCCGACGTGCACCACAGCCACAGCTACACCAGCAGCGGCAGCAGCAACTTCTCTACCCACTCCACCCACACAACCCTGTCATCGCGAGAGGGCGCCACTCGCAAAATGGCGCGGTGGTACAACAGCGCCGACGTGCCGCCCTTTCCCTTTGTCACGCGCAGTCTGTTGCTGGGGGCCGTCCCACGCGGTGCGCAGCGTGAGCTGATCTACCATTTTTGGTACTGGTGGCGTCTGCTGCTACATCAACTGGTGCTCCCAGCAGACCTCTCGAGCGCGGTGGACTCGCGAGGCGTCTGTGGTGCCAACGTGGCGGCCATACGTTACGTAGACACCTGCGCTCTCAGCGTCGGGTCAACGAGGGCCAACTCCTCCGCGACGGCGGGGCCTTTTGGCACGGATGCCCGTCACCCGCGTCGCCTTCACGCGCTGCGCGTGCTGCGCGAGGCGCTGTGGTCGTACGAGTTGCTCGCCGAGCAGCACGACGGGGCCGGTCGAAGGCTGGACGAGGCGTGGGCAGCGCTGCAACGATGGGTGGTCGCGGATGAACCGCGCTTCCAACCCTCTAGTGAAACAGCCGAGTCGTGGCTGCAGGTGCAAAGCGCATACGTAGCGTTAGGCAACTGCATCGATGATCTTTGCGGTACCGTGGTGCTGGCCGCCGACTCCCACTCGACGGACTTGTCGTTTTTGCCGGTGATCTAAACCGAAGAAGATCAGCCCAAATTTGCGCATCACAAGTGTGTCCGTATTTGTTTTTTAAAGTTATTTTTTCTACTTTGTTAGCCGTTGCCTGTCCGTTTATGCATTCTGCTGAGTGTGCCAAGAAGGGGAGTAAAAAGAGCTTTCGTGAGTTCAAGGATGCTGGTCACGAAAAGGAAGAAACAGAATACGTGCAAACAGCCACCAACAACAAAACCACTGAAGACGACACATGCGACTAGAAAATAATAATAGTAAGATTAAGAATCCCCGCTTACATGGAGCTGCAGGCATCAACCACTTCGCCTTTCATTTATCATAGCAGTTCTCCCGCATCTTTCCTGTCTCACTTACTTTGTTCCGCTTCTTCTTCTCTCTCTCTCTTTCTTGTGACACAACCAGAGCATTCGCCGACCCCTTGTCTGCTTCGCTCTCCCACACATCACCGACATCTTCAGGTCACAGTAGTCAAGACGAAGCGGACGTTGCGGTGTGTGCGAGGTGAGAGCTGAAAAAAGCGGTGGTAGGCTGTCTTCTCTAACTGTGTGTGTTGCGTATACAGGTACCGGCATATATATATGCTTCGGCGCTGGGATTCGGACGGCACAACTTCAAGTATATTTGTAATTTAGACTGGTGAGACACAATTCGTGTTTTGCATCTCATAAAGGAAACACACATTAAGAAAAACGAAGCTAAGTCTCTTTGGATTTCTTTTACGGGTCTACGTTCGCGCGCGGGCCGTGTCTTTCTTCTGTTTACTTCCTTTCTTTTTTTCATCAACTGCGAAAGGGACGTGCTTCATCCCACGCGCTCACGTGCCCACCCGCAAGCCTTAACACATTTATTGATTTATTTGTAATTTTTCTTTATTAGCATTTGGCGTTTTTTTTCCTCCTTTTTTGTTTTCTCTGGCGCGGTATGTGTATGTGTGTGCTGGTGTACGTCAGTCTTCCAAACCCGCATAAAAGGAGTCAGGGCACCCCGCACGTTGCTACTTGGATAAGACAATCAAAACAAACAAAACAAGAAAGGCGACAAGGGCTTGCCTTTTCTCTGCTTTTATCTTCTCTTTGCCCCCTCCCCTTTTTTTCTTCTTCTGCTGCCGAGGAACGAGCTGTGGAGACACGTACGAAGAGAGCGGCAGTCTCTCCTTGAAATTCCATCAAAAAAGGAAAGAAGAGAAGAGTAAAGAAAAATAATAACGTTTTTTTTTTGCTTTTGCTGTTTGTATATTACTCTACTGGATCGACGAGAAACAAAGCAAGACAGCATTCATTTTTTTAAGACTTTTTTTCTCTTCTCTCTCCCTTTTTGTTTCTTTCTTCTTTTGTGAAATTCTACTGTGTGCAGCTTCTTCCACTTCCTTTTTTTTGTTTTCGTTAAATCGGAAAATCTGTTGTTTGCTTTTGTTTCTCTTTTCCATTTTCCTTTTTTTTATTCAGCTTCGCTTCCTTCCTTCCTGCGACAAACTCATAAGTCACCCGTGGGAACGTTTACGCCTCACACAACGATACACTTTACGTAAAAAAAGAAAAAGGATAGGAAAGGTTAAGAGAAAAGCGCTCTATCATTTGTTCACTCCCCTTCTTTTTGTTTTTAGTTCTCTCCCTTTCAAACGTTTGCTTCTTGGTTTTCTCGAGAAGCCGCTCTTTCTCTCTCTTTCCTTTTTTGACCTATTCAGAACACTTTACTTTCATTTTATAAAAGTCGACGTCTTCACCATAAGCGGCTTTTAATTTTTTTTCCCCCTTTTCCTTTTGTTGACGGGTATTTTCGCTTGTGGTAGTTGTGATCTTGTCGTGCCCTTTTGACAAGTTTAATTGACCTTCGCAGCTGGGGATTGAACTGATAGCGGTGCTACGTTAACCTCCTCTATCTTTGCATTTATTGTTATATATTCTCTCCGCTTTCTGTAGTTCCTTTCGCTTCTTTTTTTCTTCTCCGCAGCAGCGCTTCTGGCGGGGTGTATTTTCCCTCATTTTTTTTAATTTATTTCTTCGTGTCTGTGTGTGTGTGTGTCTCAGCTTTTGCGTATTCATTTTCATTCTGCTATATTACGCGTTTTGCTGACGAGACGTGGAAATCTGTTGTTATGATTTATTTCCTTGTCCTTCTTGACTTTTCCCCTATTTCCTTTGTTTTTGATTTATTGATTAAAACCACTTTTTAAGCCTTTTGAAGAACTGTTATTTAGCTGCTGCTACTTCTTTTTCGTCTTCTTTGTTTCTTGCTTCTCTCTGCGTTGGCGGATACATATTTTTTTTTGTACTACCACATCTGGGCGATTACTTGCTTGCCAGCTCTTCAGAGTGAGAGCTGCGCAGAGAAGTGTACGGTGGGACTTGCTGCTTCACCACCGCCGACCAACGAAATCGAGGTGTGGGGACGTACACCACCGTCGCTGCACTCAACGCTGCAGCAACGTCGTCCAGCACGACTTCTATTTCTGCCTCGCCGCAGCGATTCATGGGTTCCTCGCCGCTACCACTGGGCGAAGAAACAGCAGCGAAACCACAGCACCGTGCGGAGACCATGAGCAGCGCGAGTGATGGCTCCGTAGTCGCTGTAGCAGGGCCGTCGCCGCTGGTGTCGAACGAGGTGGAGCAAAACGATCGCGACGCCAATGGTCGGAGTGAAAGCCGGCAGGCTGCCCCACCTGCTTGTCTGCGCTCCCCGCACCGCGAACGTGACGGCAGCTGGAACGCGGGGGTGAACTCAAAGGACCGCACAGCGCTGCCACGACCAGGGGCCGGAGTGTCGTTGCTCCCACTATTACCCACCGTCGTGAACGCCGCAAAGGAGGCGTCTGCCACAGACGTGCAGGGCTCATCCCACCACCTATTGATCCCGCCGACGACCTCGTTGTCCACAGCCACAGAGCAGCTGTCGGCGTCGTCCGACCACAGAGCGCGGCGTCAGCAGCTGTCGTTAATGAGCAGCTCCCGTGACCTCGCCGCACACGTCTCTGGGCTGAATAACTCGGACGGCTCCTTCACCCTCTCCCCGAAGCGCAGCACGCGAGACATCTCGTCCACCGGCTTGCGCGGCCCGATCCCGGAGAACGCCCAAATAGCCGCGGCTGCGCAGTCGCCCATGTCACACAGTGGTGACGTGCGTCTCCACCCGGCCGCGAGCGCAACATCCGGTGCGAACGCATCACACACCGCGGCTGAGACCCTCCGCGACGGCGGAGCAAAGGAGCCGCTTCCTCTGCTGACTCGCTCTCTCGTCTCCTCCTCCGGCGCGCAGGGCCGCCGCCTGACCGGCGAGCTCTTAGACGCTGACGTAAATGCTGCTGCAGATGCGGTTGCGACTCTCCCCGCGCCACGTTCATCCTCCATGAGCTCGATGCACCGCGATGATGACGGCCTGCAACAGCAGCGGCATGCGGTGGTCGTGGAAGAGGTACGTGCCGTGTTCCAGCCCCCACCCACCGGACCGTCCGTCGCATCGCCGCCGCCGCCGTCGAATGGCAGTAACATCGAAGACGCGTACCGCTGCTTTGCGCCGTGCTCCATCACCCCCGGCCCCGAAGGCAGCGACAACAACTCCCGCCAGCAGACGAGCCGCTTCGCCGACGAGGACAACGACACCGGCGAAAATCAGCCGACGTTCGCGCTGTGCCCAACGGAGGCGGAGGAGGTCACCTTTTCCATGGTGCCGGTGCTCCCGACAGAGGCCGGCCTCCACGGGGACTTGCCGTCTGTGTCAGGGATGGCCACCGGACCGGGCAACTCCCACACGTCGCTGCAGACCCCCGATGCGCGGACGGTGGTCTCGGCAACGGGCAGCGCGGTGGTGTCGGGCATCTTTCCCCCCTGCGTCGGCGGCAGCAGCGGCGCTGTGGTCGACGCAGCACGACGCAACTCGAGCAGCATCATGAAGAACGGCAGCGGCGATCAGGACTACGCCGCCGCCGCGACCGCCGCGCGAGGCGCCACGGAGGCGCGACGGGCCAGCGACTCCTTTACAGAGGCCGTCGACCCCAAAGCAGCGAAGCGACACCTGAAGAAGGAAAAGAAGGTCAAGAAGGTCAAGAAGGCCAAGAAGGAGAAGCAACAACTGTCAAAAGAGGCCACAGTGGGCGCTGGTGCTGCCGCTGCGGCTGCGGTGGCGGCCCACCGCTCCGACAGCGAGATGCAACGGAAGCGGCAGCGCAAGAAGCAGGAGAAGCGGGAGAAGATGAAGAACCTGTCCACCGAGGAGCAGCGCCGGTACAAGGCCGATCATCAGCGACGGCGTGCGGCGAAAGTAGCGCAGCGCTGCTCGAATGGCGCGTCGCCCGCGCCGGAGGCGGGTGCCGTGGGCGCAATGGTCCAACCGCCGCCGCAGCAGCACGCCGGCGACGCCCTGCGCTCCCTGTCGACTGCGTCGCCACCTCCGTCGAAACCGCACGACGTAGGCGCGGCGGCTTGTGAAGGCGGCCCTGCCCTTGTCCCGCTGGACGCCGCCCATCCACCCCTCTCTCTCACACCCGAACCGCCGAACTTGGACGAAGGCGACAACGGCAGCGCCAACGGCGACACCCCGAGTGCGGTGCTGGACATGGTGCAGTCCATGCCGCAGCTGGCGAACACGATGCGACACTCCGGCGACGACCGCACAGGCGGGACGCCGCTGCTCCACGCGCTGCGGCAGATACGCCGTTGCACGAGTGCCCAGGGCCCGTCGGTGCCCCTCGCGATGCTCTCCGCCACCCCGCCTCACGGCTCGACCAGCGCCCCGCGCAACTTCCGGCGCCGCTTTTCGAGCGAGGGACCCCTCAACGCGACCCCGCCGTACCGCGCCGGCGGCTTTCTGTGCCTACCGGTGAATGAGGACGCGGCAGGACTGCAGCAGGATCAACAGCAGCTGGTGGAGCTGCAATCAAATAATCCCGGAGGCGCGACGAACGTGTGTGAAAGCGAAGAAGGCGCGGCGGTAGGTAGCGGTGCGGAGGAATGCCAGATGCAGGCCCGTCAAACGGTGCCCGGCGGCGTGGCGTCGGACACGGCGCCGCCGTTCATTTTCCCGCGCCCGCCCTCCTCCGCCGCCGGCTCCGGCACGATTGCAATTTTGGAACTGAAGAACCAGCACCAGGACCACGTGCAACCGCAGCAGCGACCGCTGCAAGAGGAGCGGCGCGCCACCACTCCCTCCCTCCACGGTCTCGTAGAGAGCACCAACGAGCACTCCGACGATCCTCGCAGCGTCGGCGACAGTATTGCTGGCGCAGGGGCGACGATGCGGCCGTCAGCCGAGCTGCCGAACGTGCGAGTCTGTGCAGCATCGAGCGTCTCGTCGCACGCGGCTCCGCCGGCAACGGCGTCATGTGCGGCGGATGACCAACGGGGCGTACGGGAAGAGGCGATGTACTCTGCAAAGAAGAACAGCGACGATGACGGGAGCAGTGCAGGGACGCCTCAACAACAACAGCTGCGGCAACAGCGCAGTGATATACGGGAAGTCGAATCGCTGTCGTACTACTCCTCCGTCGCCTCCTGCTCCTACAGTCACTCGCGGGGTGGCAGCGCGCACCGCCACGACGACCACCGCGAGGGACGCCGCAGCGTCGCCGAGGCCCGTGCAAACTACGCCGCCGCCGTCGCCGCCGCAGCGAAGAGCAAGAAGATTAATGCACCTAGCAGCAATGGACTGCGCAGACCCTCCTCACCCGCTTCGTCGTGCATGTCCCTCCGCAGCCGCAGTCGCGACGACGAAAGCGACGTTTGTGGCAGCTCGTCGTACAGCTACAGCTATTCGAGCAGCACCGGTGGCAGCAGCACGAGCAGCACTGGGAGCGTCATGGCCGAGACGCTGCCCTTAAAAGAAGGCTGCTCCACCGCCCCACCAGCTGCCGCCTTTCACGACCTCAAATACCGGTGCGGCTGTGTGTCACAGCTGCAGGCCTACGCCGAGACTGCCGTGATTCACGAGTGGGACCTCACCGAGGGCTGCTGGGGCAGCGTGGATACGTCCGTGGTGCTGAACCCGCAGCCCTTCGCGAAGGGTAACATGCGGGCCTCGTACTACATGATCGACATGCGCCGCCTCAACTGCATGTTGGTGGCGAAGCGCTACCTGAAATCGTCCGTGGCGGAGGACCAGTACTTCGATGATGTGTCGATGCATAGCATCTCCGGCCACTGGGCACGGCTCTTCAACGCGATGCATCCCCCGAAGAAGGTGCGTTTTGTCCCTGCCGCCGTCCTCGTCTTGCCACGGCACAGCCCGCCGCTGGTCCTCGCGATGGAGCCGCTGCTGACGGGCAAGTTCGTGAAGTACAACAACAACTGCGGCTACGTGCGCCGCAACGCGCGGTGGACCCCGCAGGCGTTCTCCCACTTCACCTACCAAGCCAGCAACCACGCGCTGATGGTGGTCGACATCCAGGGTGTCGATGACTACTACACCGATCCGCAGATCTTGAGCCCGGACGGGGAGGGCTACGGGCGTGGGAACTTAGGCAAGAAGGGTATTCGGCGCTTCTTGGAGAGCCACAAGTGCAACGACGTCTGCCGCGCCGTCGGCCTCCTCCCGCTGCGGCGCAACTCAAAAGGGGCCGTCGTCGCACCGTTGATGGCGGCAAAGAACGCCAACGGCGGCTCTCTCCCCGCCTCCGCCGGCGCGCAGGAGCGACTCGTCGCGGCGTCCTCCTCCTCCGGCGTGAAGGACGAACGACTGCCACCGAAGATCCACACCTTGTCGCAGCAGGGCCTGGCGAACAGCTCTCACGGAGGTGATCGGAGTCCGCTGATCAGCGGCGGACCGTGCACCCCCAACTGTGGAACAAGCGCCGGCATGCAGACGCAGGTGGGCGGCCTCGCGGACGGCTCTCGCACTGGCAGTGAGGCCGGCAAATACGCCTCCCCACCACCGCTGTCGTGGCACCACCACAGTAGCAACAACAACACCTCGTATAACCACAGCAGCGGGCTCACCTCACCGAACCCAGCCGCGGCGCTGATGGGGCCGAGTGGGTACCTCCACAACGGCAACGGCGGGGCGGCGGTGGCGGGCGGCGCTGCTGGCCTGATGCACCACATGAACGGTGGTGGTGGTGGAAGTGGCGGGATGGTGGGGGCACCCGCCCTCGGTTACAGCGTGAAGTACGTGCCCTACCCCCGCCACGCCATGGTGCGACCACAAAGTCAGTACTTCACGTCGACGATTGCGGGGGGTTTAATGGCGGTGCCGTCCAGCGCAAACAGCCCCGGCGCACTCCCTACCCCGTCATCGCCGGCGCTCTACCTGACAAGCGGGATGTCAGGCCCGTCGCAGCAGCAGCAGCAGCAACAGCAATCGTCACAGCAGCAGCACAGTCCCGCCACACTGACTGGTCAAGCAGGTGCCGGTGGCGTTGGATCCGCGGCGGTGCCACTGCTGCGACCGCCCACGATGGGTCGGGCTGGCGGCGGTGCTGGCTGCGGCTATCCAGCAAGCCCGCCGAACATCACCGGCAGCGACGGCTTCACCAGCGTCTCCCCGCAGATGACGAACTCGATGCGGTTGGAGTCGAGTTTGCACCCGCACCCGCCCAAGTCCCGTCTCTCCTCGGTGGGTGGCCTCTCCGTCGGTGCACCGATGACATTGAGTCTGAGCGGAGGCGTGCAAAACGTGTCGCGGACCAACTCGTTCATTGTCATGAATCCAGTGGTGCAGATGACGCCGGAGATGCCGATGACGGGGGGATCGCACCCGCGGCGGCAGTCTTTCACCCGCCGTCCGGTCTTCTCCGCGGTTGAGGAGGGCGCCCGGATCAAGACAGGGCGTCACTCGCGTCGTTAAATACACAATGCAGCTGAATGCGGGGGTGAGGGTGGAGGGATACGCACCTTCGCGCTGTGCGTCATCAAAATGAAAAGCGATGTGCTTCTCGGAGTTGGACACCTACACACCTACACACCTACACACAGACATACAATCACACCCATATACTCATATACGACAAACAAATGAAATGGAAGGGGGCCATTTGAATGACAGTGGAAAGTGTCTCGGCTCTTTTGGTGGCGCATGCTTCTCAAATTTTTTCATTGATCAGGTTGTCTTCCGTCGCGCAAGGCCCGCGGAACGCGTTTTTGTTGTTGTTCTCTACGCGGATGCGTTTTGTATTTTGCTTTCACTCAGAGTATAATTGTTTTTCTTGATCGGTGCTGCGCGTCTCACGTGGATCACAGCAACCATTTTTCTTCCTTCTCTTTCCAAATGTATGGTTTCATATGCAACGATGCACAGCGTTGTGGTCGTTGGTCGGCCGTGGTGTACATTATAAAGGGCCCCACTGCGTTGCCCCTGGTGTGCTCTACAGGTTTTTTTTTTTGCTCTCTTCCCTTTCCGTTGGTTGGTTGCTGGCTATTACCTTATTTACGCTTGTACATTTTCCCCATATTCCCAATTTAGTCCCCGTCTATTTTCCTGTTTGATGTTGCTGTTCAGTTTGAACGGGGACGGAGTTATTCCCTCACCATTTTTGTCCTCTTCTCCCTTTGGCGCTTCACTTTAATTTTCCTTTCTCCTGTGTGTGTGTGGTGAGACGCTTCTTGCTAGAGGTTGCTCGTTTCTTGTTTCCATGGCGTCTCGGGTTGGTTTTTCTTCTTCATTTCACCCATCTGTTTTCGCTGTTTTCTCTGTTCCCTCTTTTCGATGCTCCCTCCATTTTCCTTTATGTACGTGCCTTCTTTACCAGTATTCTCGAGATAGGGCGAGAACAAGCAAACTAAATATATATATATATATCCGCAGGCTGACAATGCGCTCCACTCCCAAGTTGCTTGTGGTAGAGTAGGCGGCGAATGCCTCACAGCATCGTTGTGTGCCTCTTCCCTCACTAAAAACGGGGAGAATGCGAAAAACGTGGTAACTGAGTTTTTCGTAGAGCTGCTGTTTCTTTTTTCCGCTTTTCTCCATGCTTCATATGCAATTTTTTTTTGAGGGAGCCGTCTCGCTGCGCATTCATCATGGCACTGCTCGTCTCTATGGGAAAGCTGCCTCAGCTCTCATGACCCTCCCTCAATATAGCGTTGCAGCTGTGCAACCTGTTGTCGAGAACACGAAGTCGTTCGCCTTTTTACCATCGCCTCCTCTCCTGCTCACCTCCTTCTCTTGGAGTATTCTCTGTACTTTTCTTTTATGGATGTGTTCTCATCTTCTCTCCGCTGGCTACACGTGGTCTCTTTGCCCCCTTTTCCGCCCTCGTTGGCTTACAGAGTTGTGTACGCACATTATCGTCACTTTTTGATAGTTTCTTGTTCTACCTCTTTTACCGGGGTTTTTCCCTCTCCCTGTTGTAGTTCTTGAACTTTGGGCGTCCTTTTGGATTTGCAGCTGTCCGTCTTGGTCAGGGAGGGGAGAAGAGCAAACGTACACGCTGGGCTGATCGAGGACGCAGGCACACGATCTTTTCTCCTTGTGCTATTGTTTGCTTCCAGTGTTGCGTAGGAGTCTCCTGGCGCATCGAACCACAATCACACACACTCATACACACATACGTTTATATATATATATATATATACCTCCACAAGCCGTTGTGATCTTTATCTATTCTCCATCCTGTCCCCCAGCTGGCATTGCTGACGAAACCGTATTTTGCGTCTCTCTATCTCTATATACCACTCCCACTTACACGTCTCTGTTCGCGTTGCACGCACACCGACGAATAAGAAACGAAGCGCACAATGAACTTTACACAGCAGCTGTGGTCGGTGAAGGAGTGGGGCCGCGTGATGGCGACCGGTAGCGAGTACGTCTCCATCGTGCACGAGGCGACGAACGAGGAGAAGTGGGGCCCCACTGGTGCGCAGATGGAGGCGGTCTGCAACGCCTACTCTCGCGGCGGACAGGAGATCTTGAACGAGCTGCGCAGTCGCCTAAACAACCGCGACAAAGCCTGGCGTCCGTGCTACAAATCGCTGCTCGTGTTGGACTACCTCGCGCGCAACGTGGCAGACCGCTACCTGCCGGAGATCTGCGCCATCGTGCCGCTGCTGCGCACCATCTCCACCAGCTTCTACTACACAAACCCGAAAGGCGTCGACCACGGCGTGTCGGTGCGCGAGCGGGCCCGGAAGCTGGCGGAGCTCCTCAGCGACGGTCTTCAGCTGCGCGAGGAGCGGGCGACGGCGGCGCAGACGCGCGAGAAACTGGCGCACAACGCCAGCGAAGGCGGCGGCCCGCAGAACTACGGGGCTTATGGCGGGGCGGGCGGCGCGTACGGTGGCGGGTACGGTGGCGGGTACAACGGCGAGTACGGCGGTGGCGGCCGCAGCCGTCGTGACACCGGTGGTCGCGACTACGGCGGTGGCTACGACGCCTACCCCCCGTCGCCGGCGCACACGTACGCCCAGGCCGCAGCGTCGTCGCGACCGCGCTCGAAGGAGGAGCAGGAGCGCTACGATATGGAGATGGCCCTGCGCATGCAGCGCGACGAGGAGCGGCGTGCCGGCGTGTCGGCCGAGCAGCTGGAGGAAATGTACGCGAGTAAGGTGCGGCAGAAGAAGAGCGACGATCAGCGCCGGCGTGCGATGGCGGCCGACGATGACGAGGCGCTGGCCAGACGCCTGCAAGATGAAGAGGACCAACGCTCTCGACGCGAGGGGCGCGCCCTGCCGACGCTGCGATCCGACAGCCAGCCGGTGAAGGCCTCGAGTCCCCCGGCGCCGGTGAAGACCGCCAACCCCCCCGCCCCGGCCGCCGAGCCGGCAAAACCGAAGGAGCCGGAGACGAACGCGCTGGATGACCTCTTTGCGCCGGCCCCAGCTGCACCGCAGCCGGCTGCCCC